GGCTCGGTGGTGATGAATTTCAATAACGTAAGAAATCCACAAAATAGTAATAATAATGAATAATAGTAATGAATTCTATGTCTGAAAACATATTTAGCACGACTGAGGGTTTCAGTAAGTTTGAAGGGTGAAAAACAAATGTGGTTCTAAGCGTCTGTAGGTCCCATTTCTGTTGTCTCTGTGAAAAAAAGATGTCTGCATGTCAACAGTCGTGAATTTCATTGCTTTCATAGAGTTTATTTGCTGTCTTCCATATTTCAGTTTGCTTCGTGAAGTAAAGATGTGCCATACATAACCTTGGTTGTTTCTGCGCTATTTGCAACGGTTCTATAAACCCATTATTTGGGTTAACTCTCTATAGCGTCTTACCAGTATCATAGTGACTCAACTATGGATTACTACTTCTAAGCTCTTAACATGCTGCCGCTGTTGTTGTTGTGCAGTCTGCCTTGTAGGTTAATGTGAAGCTGGTTACATAAAGAGGCAGGCAGTAAACAATAGCCAGAGACATGCAGACACATGCTTACATGGTGAAACTGCTGCTGAGGCTTTTAGCTTTCGCTGAAATTGTCAGTTTTAAAAATGAGAATCAAGTATTCAACTGTGAGGTTAATGCATTTCATCTTGACATTTAGCTGTAGGACAAAGCTTTTGCCATAATTGCATACAATTGAAGCCTCTGGCAGCGTTTTTACCGCATCTAACTAAGAATATTAAACATTCATGATCCTATCAGTTGCATTGAGTCAATTCAAACAGTTTGATCTATTATCTAATTAAATGCTACACAGCTTTGCAGGGCTGCAACACACAAGTCTGGCTTGGCATGAACCTCAGACCTCTCATAGCTAACTCAATAACAGAGCACTTAACTGTAAGCCTGAGCACTAAACTGAAGTATTTTACTACTCAAGAGGAAAATATCTTTCAAATATATGATGTATAAGCACCAATGTAAATATTGTTATTTTTGATGTTCATGAATAAAGATGTATTTGAAACATAGTCGTAGTTGTTACTGTGAAAGACAATCTAAAGTGGTATTGCTTATGTGTCTGAGCTGTGCAGGAAATTATGCTATTTTGACAGATTGTGGCCTGTTGAGGACATGCAGAGCTGTGACAGTGGATACTTGAAAGTCAAGGACTTTCTGGGCTGTGCTCAGGATTGTTATAAGGATGTAGAACTAATGGCCATGGTCTGCAGGGTTTTGATTTCTACTTTATTTTTTTACTATCATTAAATGATGACAAGGGCATTGGAAAGCAACTAATAAAACAAACTTGAAGCTGTTTGGTGATCCTGAAAATAGCCCAGAGATTCCCTCCTCAGTCTTACATTTCCAAAGCTTTGTTCCAAAATGACCTTCACAATGTTGAAAAACGAAAAGTGACTTGCTGTCACAGATTGATTACTGGAGCGCTATCTTGGGATGCTGTTGTGAATATGTAATGATAAAGTGACATTTTTCCGAAGTGGATAAACATCATTTTGGAATAAAACTTAAAAATTAACTCATGTCTCTGTTCCTGGTTAGATCTAGTCCATGACTTGTTTTCCAGGTTACCTCAGGGTGACTTGCTGTACCTCCCAGTGACGTGAGATATTTGACTTGTATTTACAGTACAATGGCCTTGTGTTGTTGTCATTCCAATGAACATGTAAGATTTCACTGTATCGGTACTCGCTGTTACATCTTTTACTTCATGACCAGGGTGGTACCTCCAGCACTTGTAGTGTTGTTCCCTCCCCAAAGCAGTATGTGCCATAGAAAATACAATCAGTCCAGTCTGTATTCACAGTGCATAAGTACAGTGTTAGTTTGATTCCTTTATTTTGCTCATTGAACTTTGGTTCCTGTATTTCTTGCTGCATTTTGTGTCTGGATTCAAAATAAAATTGAGAAAACTCGAGATCTCCTTATTGTCATATTTTCTTTACATTTAGTTATATGTTTTCACATAATTGTAACGGTGAGAGAGAATATGATCAGCTACAGAACTGTGCGAAACTGAAGATCTCTGTTTTTCATCTTCTTCTCATAGCCTTCATCAAACTGTTCGTTCTGTGGAGCAGCAAAATGATTCTTCCAGTCCCCAACTTTTCCTGTATAAATAAAAGCAGCAATAAAAATTTAATAGCGTCTTTTCCTCTCCTCTCTGCTTTCTCTTTAATTCTACAAGATTTACAAACATAGAGGCAAATACATTAAACCTTTGCGCATGAAAGGAGATATCTTAAAATCAAGGACTTCATACTTGGAGCCATTCGCCATCTTGTTGTTTTTCATGTTGTCAAACTGAACTTTTTGCACAACTTGTCTCTTCAGCTCGGCAGTGGCAGACAATCCCAGGAAGGAGCACAGACGGTTGCGTTCTCGTTCAGTAGTAGTAAGGTGAAATCTTGTGCTTGTGTTTTACAATCCCACAGACTAACTTTTATACTCACCTCAATCAGATCTTCATAGAACAAATAAAGGATGTTTGAAGTGGTCTGCTTCTTCTCCCACCAGCCTCTCACACGTTCATACCAGGAGCCAAACACCACTGTTAAGATAACAGAAAGACATAAAATAACATTTCACATATTACATATTCCCTCGATGAGATGCTCTCATTCTGCTCTCCTTCCCTCCACGAATCTCTGCAGGAAGCTGCTCCGGTCTCCTGGCTCCGGCTGGACCATGTTCATGCGACTGACGTGGAAGTAAGCCAACGCATTGTCCTTGGCGTTGCGGGCCATGTAGATTATCTACAATCAGAGTGAAATCAGAAAAAAAAAATGCTGGAAAACCATGGACATAAATGTCTCCAATCTCACATTTGAAGGACACGTGTGGTAATATTCAAATTTTTGTTATTGTCAGCAAATCCCATGAAACCTATACCTTTATGACCTATACTGTAACCTGCCACTAGGAGACAATCAAGATGTTTTGGCTTCACTTTTGGGGAGCTTATACGTTGTCCATCTTTATACAACAGTCATTGGTTGGCACTAACAAAAGTATAGAATAAGAGCATCCTTTAAAATGTGTGCTTTTGTTACTGATCAATTGGCGACAGTATACCTTAGAGTTCTGTTTGCTGAAGGATTTGGGAATGAACTGGACTGGCAGATGTGTCTTGATAATGTTTGGAAACGTGGTTAACGTATTCAGTTCATCCACTCCTGATACGTGAAAATATGACGTTACCATAATGTCACAATGACACTCACTTACTGTATATCACCACTGCATGGGTCAGTGTCAGTCTTTTTACAAACTTGCCTGAGGAGGATCCAGGAATGTGTTTCTCCAGGAAAGGCACTCTGTTATGGAGTGGGACTGTGACGTTCAGGCGACACCTGGCTGAAATATAACAGGTCCGGGTTTTAGCACACCCTTGTGGTTCCTTGAAAATTCAAGAAAGATGACATTCAGTTGGCTAATGGCAGTTGAAACACATGAATAAACACTATAAACAAAAGCAAACACATACTACAACAAAAATGCTACAATAGTGTGTCAAAAAAAGATATAAAAAACTGCACCTGCTTTAGGATAAGTAGCTATGAGAATATCATCTGGTCTAGCTTTGAAGTTCTGTATGTTGTCCCAGTTGTCAGTGAAGTATTTGGTCATGGAGACTCCGTGGAAGTCAAACAGCTTGGGCCGGGGTGGCAGCTCCATCTGAGAGAGTGTCACAAAATGTTTTTTTATTTTATAATTAAAAAAGGTTCTCTGTATGACTCGTGGCCAGGTTGTAAGAACATTTAAAACACATCTGTTATAAATGTGGTGGGTACTAAACCTAAATTTCTGATGTTTTTGACAAGTACATCAGAGGCTCTTTACGTTGAGGGGGCTTAAAAAACAATTTGTTGCCCATGGCTTTTTTAAAACTAATAAAACCTTACAGGAAAAACACCCTAAGTACTGCTTCAGCTAAATGACATGCTGAGTTCTCTCCACCTTGAAAGAATAAGGAATTTAAAAAGCCCCCCCACACACATACAGACATACAAAAATACTTTGCTTGGAATAATAATTTGTGTCTGGCATGTTATTTCAGAAATGAATTGTGTTTTGTTATTTACCAAAACAGAATTTCAATTACTTTGATAAACATTTGTAAAAATTACATTTATTCCTCTCTGTCATTGAAAAATCCAGATTGTATGACTATGCAAAAATGTCTTATTTCAAAAGTTTAACTACTAGATGCTGAAGATGTACTTGCCCATTCTCAATATATGAGCACAAGAGACAAAGTTTCCTCCTCATGTTTGTGTGAGCTGCATACTGAGCCATGATTGGCTTCCAAGCTATTTGGTCCTCTTTCACTGCTTTTCTGGAGAAAGTCCAAACCAGTTTTATTCATATGGGCTCAGCCCTTAAAGGATCAGTCTGAAGTGACCTAACTACATATAATAACAATAATACTGGGAATATAATGTATATGTAATATGTCAAAAGACAGCATAACATACTCTTAGCTCACCTCACAAATCCTTAAACAAGTCATAAGTAATGTACATAAACTGCACTGCACTAGCTCACCTGCATGTGATCTTTACCTGTATGTGTGGCGCTCTCATGAACAGCTCAGTCAACTCTTTTTTTTACAGACTGTGCACCATCCAATCAATTTCCACAAACTAGTGACGTAATGGAAAGTAGACGAGATTCAGAAAATGCGTCAAATGCATAAGAGTCAAAGTCTGACATTCATTGAGCCTTGACCTTTGATCATTTCTCATGACTATATAACATCAGTCAGCTTCACTATGAAGAGAAATGACTCACAGTGATTAGACAGTGTCCTTGTCAATCGAACTTAAAGTCTCAGTCAGTAACATTAACATTACTATCTATTTTATCACGTATCAATGTGCACAGTAGGAATGTAAGAAAGAGGCAGCTGAGAGAGGTCACTGAAAAGATAGATACGATATATAGGGACAAAAGATAGCAAATGACAAGAGAAGAAGAAAAAAGTGAGTGGGTTGGTTTCTGTTTTCAGTCTTTTAATCTAGACTGACATTTGACTGGATTGCAGCTGTACAGTTGATATACCTCTATCAAATTCATTTTGACAAACTAGTGATATAACGCTTAAATCTGTAAAAGTCAAAGTCATCAAGTTTTGATATTTGATAAACTTATGTATTCAGACTGATTAGATCATTTCCTCAGCGCTTAAAATTAAGCACCTGACTCAGTAATTATCTATCTCTATCTATCTCTCTAACATTATCTATTTGATCACATATCACAGTTAAGGAATTTTCGTTATGTAGCTGCAGCTGCACCGGACCTCTAAATTTCATTGCGAAATGTCAGTGTGGGATTCTTCATCTTTTTCTTGTAGTCCTCATCAAACTCTTCACTCTGCGCCACAGTGAAATGGTTTTTCCAGTCACCAACCTTCCCTGGAGAACCACAAAGAATCAGTCAGATATTTTATATTTTACATGTCACATGTATTGTATGTCACTATTCACTGTACCTTTCCTTATGAACGAAGAAAGTTTGAAATCCATTCCTAGAAATGCTGAATGGTTGACCACATTGTCCTGTTTCATATTGTCAAACTGCACTCTGCCTGCAAGTCGTTCCTTCTCCTGAGCTGAAGGAGACAAACCAAGAAAGCAGCAGAGTTTGTCTATTTCCCGTCCAGTATCCTGGAAACATAGTGGTCAGATACTGTCACCACGCTATTACCAGCAAGAGCAGAGCTTTAGAAAAGCACTGTGAACAGGCAAAGACTTCTGAATCGCACAAACACATACACGTGTGAAACCCACATGTGCAAACAAAATTACCTCAACAAGATCTTCGTAGAACATGTAATGGAGGTTTGAATACATCTGTTTCTTCTCCCACCAGTTGTTCACATGGTCATACCAGGATCCAAACACCACTGGAGCAACACAACAATAAACTGTGAATTGAGGAGTGTCTGTGCATCCCCAATACAAACAACTTTATTATTGCATGAACATCTCAAGTGAAACTCAAAATTTTGATTGTAACTTTATTATTGTGTTTCCTATTCATACTCTTTCCCTCCATAAACCTCTGGAGGTAACTGCTCCAGTCTCCAGGCTCTGGGAGGATCATGGTCATGCGCTCTTGGTGGAAAAAAGATACCACGCTGTCCTTGCCATTGCGGGCCACATAGACTATCTACACAACAAAAAGACACATGCAGTATTGCATGAAGCATGAAATACCTACAGTACCAGTCAAATGTTTTTCTTTATTTTCACTATATAGTCGAATATTCAGATGTAAACTATAAACTATATTAACACTCAAAAACACAAAATTATAATATAATATTTTGAAATAATAATATAATGTTAAGATTGTAAGAATTTGAAATATACAAACTGGGTAAAGGATTGGAATCAGTCCTTTGATACTTCCTGTACTTACACATTATCTTTATCGACAGAGCGCACTTTGCTTTAATCTTGTATGAATTATCTCCCTGGCTTTAAATTCTCTGGAATATGTCCACTTATCATTTTTCTTTAATTTCCTTTTTTCTTAACTAAGATCCATACCCATCTCAGATGAACATGTACTGTATGTTCAATTATTATTCAAATTATTAAAAATAACATGGTTCAATAATATTTTTCATATAAATCCATTTTCTTCTAGGAGTATTTTAAAATTTTATATTGGTTGTTTGAATATAGTATTTTTTACCACTTTATGTTTTTGATAACTTTTGTTAATGTGTATGGAATGTTCTTTTTAACATCATCTGACTATGGTTAGCCAGATTAGTGGCTAACCAAGTGCTCTGTTATTGAGTTAGCTATGAGAGGTCTGAGGTTCATGCCAATGAATGAACATTGTAAATCATTAAAAGATATGATTAAACAGTAAATTCCCACCAAATGTGCACCATCTTCATATCATCAAATATCTCAGCTCAGGCAATGGAAACAACACTCGGGCTACTGTACCCTGCAGTTTTGCTCCCAAAAAGATTTTGGCACAAACTGGACCGGAAGATGAGTCTTAATGAGTCGAGGAGAAGTGAGGAGATTGTCCACCATGTCTGTTCCTTTGTGTATGGTTGAAGATTCTGCACAGTAATAAAAAATTTTACATGCCAGTGAATACATCGCAGTATGACATATCAACCATTCACACATGATGATGAAGATAAATGCACCTGTTATTATTAAGTAATTTGACACTTCACGGCACACAGTGACATGTAATTCAATGTGATCTATTTCCTTATTTAAGCAGACAATTACCATGTAGGCATGAAAGTATTTGAACTTTAATCAATATGTGACTGCTGTATGTGACTCAACCTGGCTGCAGAGAAGGGAAGGTGATCTCTAAGACAGGTACTCTTGCATAAATGGGGACGGATTTCTGACACTCTGGAGATGTCTGATCAAAATACAGCAGGTCAAGGATGTAGGAGACCCAGGTGTTTCCTCAAAGAATGACAGTGGAAAAAATTTAGATAGTTAAAACCCTTTACCACCACATCATCCAAATATTCAAGAGCTACAGTATGCAGCAAAACACATCCTGTTCATGTTTACAGACTCACCTGCTTTGGGGTATGTTGCAATAAGAATATCATCTGGCCTGGCCTGGAAGTTTTGAATATTATCCCAGTTGTCTGTGAAATAGCGAGTCATTGAGACTCCATGGAAATCAAAAAGTTCTGGTCGAGAAAGTGAATCCATCCTTAAAAGAGAAGAAAAACATATGTGTCACCGCCTCTGCGCCTACCTGATCTCTCTGGTGTTATTCCACTCACCCCGCCTCCGTCTCACTCTCCTCTCTGACACACCTCCTCATCAGCCTCACCGTCCCCACCTGTTGCTCCCAGCTGCAGTCCATCTCCAATTGTTCTGTGTCCGTGCAAGACTTTCCAGCGTTCATCTCCGGACTGACTTCCCGGTATCGACTCTGCCCCGGTAAACGCCCGATAAACGTCGCAACGTGAGTGCTTCCCTGCTGGTTTCCTGATCATTCGTGTGGCTCTGATTACCGGCCTGCCTGCTCATTCCTGGTTCGTCCGCCCCCTTGCTACCTCGACAACGTCTCCAGCCTGCTCCCTAACGGTACCGTTGCTTGCCTTCCCTTGTGTGTGTGTGTGTGTGTGTGTGTGTGTGTGTGTGTGTGTGTGTGTGTGTGTGTGTGTGTGTGTGTGTATGTGTGTACCCCCCCAAATACCCACCTGTGTGCATTATCTCTGCTGGTTCATAATTAAAGGTCATTACAAACTATATCCAGTTGTGTGCTGCATTTTGGTCCATACCTGTTTCAATATGATTACTGAGTAATCAATGTGATTGCTGTCAAAAAAAAAAATGCAACCAACTATCTGGAGTTTTGCATACCTCCTTGAAAAACAGTACATTATATATATATATATATTATAAATTTGAAAAAAAAAATGGAGACATACCTTGTCCAGAATACTCGACGTTCTGTGATCGTTGTTTCTCAGTTGAATTTTTGCCTCCTTTCTCTTCTCTCTCCTTCCTCTGTGATTCTGATTATGGACCGTGACGAACCTTCCTCCCCTCTTATCCCGTCGTGTTATGGTTAATTTACAACCCTCCTTATTTAGTTTGCCTGCATCAGCTAGAGGTGGAATGATCGTTAGTCTATAGGTTTGAATTCAAGAAATTCCCCCAACACACACAAAATATCTTGTAAATTCACTTTTTATGCTGACATGGCCACATGCACTTGAGGCAACAAAGTGACCCCAAGCTCATTCTGAGCGAATGATCTAACTTGAACTCTTGCACTGCAGTAAAAAGCTGTGTGCACAAACCTATATGATTCATGAAGATGATTTAGTGTACAGTGGGTCTGTAAGAAATCAAGGGGGCAAAAGTGAGAAATTTTTTAATTTTTCATGATGTGGTGAATTTAAATGACATTTTGACAGTAATAAAACAAGTCATCCTTTGATCCAAGCAAAACAAAGTTCAAATACAGTGGTTAAATGGAGAGGTTGTATGAAATAAAAGTTCTGGGTGTTATACATAGGCTAAATTAAGTTGGAAAATGCATATTAATCATGTCAATACCATATAAGACTAAGGATCTGTTAAAGTGTTGCTTGTTTTATATTGCTCACTTCTGGTTCCACCCGTCACCTATGGCTTTCATATAACAAAACAGAACCATAAGAATTATAATTGAATTGGATGATAAAGAACCAACAAATGGCCTGTTCACAAAACTGCAGATATAACAATTTTATAATTTAGTTGGTTACAAGATTGCACAACTAATATACAAAGTGTGTTCTAATTTACTTTTCTAAACATGTTTTTAAAAAGACAGCAAATATGAGCTTCAGCAAGGTTGAATATTAAAAAAAACAATCTTGAGGACGAATTCAAATGTGTAGTACAGTTCATAGATTTAAAATACTATTTGATAGATTAATATAAAATATACATTTGATACCCCATTATAATCTGTCTGATAAATGACATTTAGTGATGTGGTATTACTGACTGTATCCACGTGTCTGACAAAGTTTTGATAAATGTACAGACATGGAGCCGAGTGTGTATTGTTCTGATCCAGATTGTGTAACAATTAAGTCTTTAATAGGTAGAAGAGTTGATGGTGATCATAAGAGTAGGTGTTATAATCTTTGACTTCAGCCTACACCTTTTTCGGTTCAAATTGTATCATTGTGCATTATTAAGGAGGATATATTATGTTTGCAACAACGTGTTTACATCAGTACTGCTATGCATAGTCTTTTGTTTTCTTTCATGTTTTGATTTATATTTTAATAGACCAAAGATCGATCAATTGATAATTAAAAAAAAAAAAAAAAAAGATTGTTTTTCAGGTCTTAAACATACACTGCCATTTTACGACATAAATATAAATAAAGCCAATACACTTACATCTAATGAATTTCCACAAACCAGTGACATAATCCAGATTCCCAAACAGAGACAAAGGAGATTCAACATGGCTCAAACATATACAAGTCTGACATTTATCCAGCTTTGATCATTTTTGATCAGTTTATAACATCAGTCCACTTCACTATGAGGAGAAATGCACTGATCAGACATCATCTTTGTCACTTATACCTGACCGGCCGGACCTCTACACCTCAGTACGAAACTTCAGTGTGGGATTCTTCATTTTCTGCCAGTAGTCTTCATCAAACTGCTCATTCTGGGTCACAGTGAAATGGTTCTTCCAGTCACCAACCTTCCCTGGAGGAGCAGAGATGATGAATTAATGAAATCAGTGATAAGTGTGAGTAGTTTTCTTCTTCCCAGACTCCTTTCCCAGTAGATAATTCCACTGTACCTTTTCTCATGAAAGGAGACACCTTGTGATCCATGATGTGGACGGTGGAATAGTTGGCCATTTTATTTTGTTTCATGTTGTCAAACATCACTCCAGTTATGACTCTTTCCTTCTCCTCGGCTGAAGGAGACAAACAAAGGAAGGAACAGAGTCGGTCTATCTCTCGTCCGGAGTCCTGCACACATTAAAGAGTCTCAGTGTCAGCCTTGGAAGACATAAATCAAAGACACATAGCGGTTATTTTTTTCAAAATCTTGATAATGCTGACTTGCTTTCGTGCTGAGAGTTAGCTGAGAAGACCTATACAGTGCTGGCTAAAACATGAGACCAATTCTTTTATACTGATTCTTTTGCACATTCAGTCCTGCACAGGTATGTGCAGCCTCCAGGAAATAGCCATATGCTTGCACTCTAAAGTCTGACATGATAAAAGCTCTTGTGTTCTTGGACGTTATGTTACCAAACCAACTGCAAGCCACATAAATGGAACATTACAACCTTAACAGTAGGAACTCACTCAATACTTTTTGTGACAATGTTGAGCTTGTTGAGTATTTGTAACATTTCAACAGGTTATTAGTTGAGATTCAACAATTCAACAAACCCTGCTAACCCCAACCTTAACCATTCAATGATTTACTGATTTTTCGGTGAATATTTGTCAAACATTAGTTGAACATTAGAAAGTTCAACAAAGATTAGTGAAATGTTAAACTCTCTGTTTAAACTCTCTGTAAATACCTATATACGAGCGGCCTCTCCTCAGTCCCCTCCCCACTAGATTGTTGAATCTTTCATGTCCTGGACTTTATTCTAGCCCTCCTGTAACAGGTCAGCATTTGGGTCGTCCTTACCGTTTCCTCATACTGTGGCAGCTTGCTTTAAGCAGTGCAGAAGGTGACTGACAGAATCATGATTTCTCCTCAGGGCTTAATGTATGTAAGTGCTGCCGAGACCATTCAGTGCCACAAACTCAATTCAACTTGACTTGAATGATGCCGATGCTAGCACTTGTACGTACTCGCTGCCCTCGACACTTACGGTACATGCCATACTGTACAACAGTTTAATTGATAGCTAGCTTTACTTTCACTTGGTCTGCATATAATGTTAATATACCCTGCAATCTTGTTGCCCAAAAGGTTGAAATACTTGATATATTTAGAAGTCCAGACCTGGGTGAACTGAAGCAACGTAACACGAGAACTTCCCGACATGAGACTGGTGCCTCCCTCATGTCTGATCATTAAATTGATGCCAAAATCAGGAGATGGTGAGATTGGCAGAAAGACTGGAAGCAGGGGGAAACAGCCAGTCTTTGTTCAAAGATTTAAGAAAAAAAAAAAAAAAAAACCTACCAGTCCCTCTAAAACATATCTTGTTTGTTTAATCAGGACCAAAAAGAGAGATGTAGTTTTAGGGGAGAGGTAACATGCTGGTGCAGTGACTTCCTTGAGTCCTCTAGCTGAGTTGCTGCTTTCAAGTCTTCATACTAAGATTACTGTCCTCTTTCATATTTATTTTTTTCCTCATCTAACTCTTGGCAAGAAAATTAATTGGCATATTTCCCAAATTGCCGAACTATTCATTTCAATACAGGGCATGTTGTAATTTTACAAGAAACCAGCTTAACTGTCAACATTAATGACCATAAGAGGTCGGACAAAATCTTTTCTTTTAATGAATAAAAGAGTGTTTACAACATTTTCCAAAAAAACCTATGCCATCAAAAAAGGTGTCTAGCTCACCTCAATGAGATCTTCATAGAACATGTAGTGAATTTTTGAATGTGTCTGTTTCTTCTCCCACCAGCCGTTCACATGGTCATACCAGGATCCAAACACCACTGAAGCCACAGAGCAATGCATGAAGGAAAATTTAGACTTGAAATGAGAGGAAAGTGAGCCTTCATGCATATGAAAACTACTTTGAACTCACTCTTTCCCTCCATGAAATTCTGCAGAAAGGTGCTCCAGTCTCCTGGTTCTGGCTGGCAATTGTTCATGCGGTCAAAGTGGAAATAGGACACTGCGTTGTCCTTTGCATTACGGGCAACATAGACTATCTACAGGGACATAAAACAAAAATTAAATCTTAGCTGAATCAGAATTAAAATGTGGTCCATAAATCTTACATTTCAAAGGCTTTTACCCTGCAGTTCTGCTCCCAGAAGGACTTAGGCACAAACTGGACTGGCAGATGGGTCTTAATAAGGCGAGGAGTGGTGGGAAGCTGGTCTGCAAGCTCTTTGCCTTTGTGAAGAGAAGAATTTATCTGTGACTGACTGCATGTACAGCCTTGTTTATATACCAAAGAAGCTAACAGCCAAAACGGGCAAAAAAAAAAAAAAAAGGTGCTTCTCAGACGTTTTACATTTTACATGGTGTCATGAATTTACACACTGAAATCCTGCTGATAAAAACATTGATAGAACATGATAATCAAGTAAAAGAAAGTTATACAACTACACATTTGCCGAAAAAAGGCTTTCTATGAATCTGCCAGTCACTTTGCACATAGCACCTCTTTCAATAACTACAACAAAACTGATTGTAATCTCTTGAGTTTCTTAAAAGCCGTGAGTTCTGACAGCAGCCCTTTCATCATATGACACACATATGACTGAGTGCATATCTGCAAACAAGACTAATGTGAGGCAAAGAGTCTTGTTTCAGGACTTTTGACAGTGTCTGTGAAATAAATATCGCTGAGGCAATAAGCACACAACAATGTAGAGATTACGGACGCAAAGTCTATAGTCTATAGGAGCCAGTCTATAGAAATTTGCATTCAAAAGATTTAAGTGTGATATTAATAGGCTTGTGACCACATGATTCAACCTGCAGGTAGAGACGGTAAGCAGATCTCCAGGAAGGGCACTCTCATATGAATAGGGATGGATGTCTGACGCTCCGGACACGCCTGCCCAAAATACAAAAGGTCCAGGATGTACGAGACCCACGTGGTCCCTGAGATTAAAACACATGCTTTTCAATGGCCTGAACATCAGAAAAAAAATAACTCCAGGGTATTCATCAACATGAAATGATACAGTATAACAATGATGCCACAAGGTCAATACTCTAATCCACACAACCCCACCTGCTTTAGGATAAGTAGCTATAAGAATATCATCTGGTCTCGCTTTGAAGTTTTGGACGTTGTCCCAGTTGTCGGTGAAGTATCTGGTCATGGAGACTCCATGGAAGTCAAACAGTGTCGCTCGAGGAGGCAACTCCATCTGTGAGAAAATATCAATATGACATTTTGAATACCAGCCATGCTGCCAGAACAAGATTCAAACCTAAATATATTAGTTTTAATCATTCAGTTGACTGTACACATCGTTAAAATGGAACTGGTATTTTCAATACTTACTTAGCTGATGTAGCCAGTACAATACAGATGTATAACTAATAAGTAGTAATAAGGTTAATGCATGTGTTGGCCGCCCCTGCAGCAACACAGCTACAATAAAAGTCAGTAACACCCATGCACTGACACACCTCAGTTATCTTAAGCTTCTTTACACTTTTACACCCATATTACATACACACACACAAACACATAAGTCTTCATTTTATACAACATAGTTATGGTTTATTTCGAGCTTGGTGGAAGTACATTAGCTCTACTTGTAGTGTGCACATTTAGTTTTGTATATTCAACATTATGTTAATTTATGTTGTCCTAATTCTCTGTATTGATGCAAGGGGTTCCTTGCTTCACGTGGCCAGGATTGGCCGAACGGAAGCAGTGGTCCTAACTACAGGAAGTGCCAATAAGGCACAATAAGGTGTTCACCATGTCAGGAAGGAACTTGTCATGGTGCGGGTAAGGCTGGACCCAAATTCAGCCAACACATGGGAATCACGTGCAAAATTGTTTATTAATGGAAGACTTACGAAACTGGCTAACCAACAGAACAGGAAACCTAAGCATGAGGGCACACAAGGAACAACAAACGGAGACACAGGGGATAACAACAGCCGACATGAACAGACCGAGGACAAACCAGACATGAACAGATGAACCGACACAGACAAAGAGGAGCACAGAGACTATGTAGATACAAGGGAGGCAAGGGTGATTGAACACAGATGAAACACATTAGGGCGGGGCAGACAATCACCAAACGGAAGTAAAAACATTGAGACACAAGGAAACCAACTTCAAAATAAAACAGGAAGTGACACTGAGGTCGAGCGAAAGGACGGCGGAGGATCGCGGCGGAGACCGGGCCTCTCCGGAGGTTGAGCGGAAAGGCAGCAGCGAAGACCGGGTCTCTCCTGAGGCCGGGCCAGAGGACGGCAGCGGAGGCCAGGCCGGAGGATCGCAGCGGAGACCAGGCCTCTCCGGAGGTCGAGCGGAAGGGCGGCGGGGAAGACCGGGTCTCTCCAGAGGTCGAGTGGAGGGCGGCGAAGAGCGTTCTCTCCGGAGGCCGGAGGATCGTGGCGGCGGCGACCAGGCCTCTCCGGAGGTTGAGCGGAAGGGCAGCAGCGAAGACCGGGTCTCTCCTGAGGTCTAGCCGGAGAATCGCGGCGGAGACCAGGTCTCTCCTGAGGTCTAGCCAGAGGATCGCGGCGGAGGTCGAGCGGGAGGACGGCAGCAGAGACCGGGTCTCTCCGGAGGGCAGGCCGGAGGATCGCAGTGGAGACCAGGCCTCTCCGGAGGTCGAGTGGAGGATCGCGGCGGCGACCGGAGGTTGAGCGGAAAGGCAGCAGCGAAGACCGGGTCTCTCCTGAGGTCTAGCCGGAGGATCGCGGCGGAGACCCGGCCTCTCTGGAGGTCGAGCGGGAGGGCGGCAGCAGAGACCGGGTCTCTCCGGAGGCCAGGCCGGGTCTCTCCGGAGGTCGAGCGGGAGGACGGCAGCGGAGACCGGGTCTCTCCGGAGGTCGAGCGGAAGGGCGGCCGATCAGGCCGAGCGAAAGGACGGCGGAGGATCGCGGCGGAGACCCGGCCTCTCTGGAGGTCGAGCGGGAGGGCGGCGGAGAAGACCGGAGAAGAGAATCGCGGCGGAGACCAGGCATCTCCGGAGGTCGAGCGGAAGGGCGGCGGAGAAGACCGGATCGCGGCGGCGACCGGAGGTTGAGCGGAAAGGCAGCAGCGAAGACCGGGTCTCTCCTGAGGTCTAGACGGAGAATCGCGGCGGAGCCCAGGCCTCTCTGGAGGTCGAGCGGGAGGGCGGCGGAGAAGACTGGAGAAGAGAATCGCGGCGGAGACCAGGCCTCTCTGGAGGTCGAGCGGGAGGGCGGCGGAGAAGACTGGAGAAGAGAATCGCGGCGGAGACCAGGCCTCTCCGGAGGTCGAGTGGAGGACCGCGGCGGCGACCGGAGGTTGAGCGGAAAGGCAGCAGCGAAGACCGGGTCTCTCCTGAGGTCTAGACGGAGAATCGCGGCGGAGACCAGGCCTCTCTGGAGGGCGAGCGGGAGGACGGCAGCGGAGACCGGGTCCCTCCGGAGGCCGGGCCGGAGAATCGCGGCGGAGCCCAGGCCTCTCTGGAGGGCGAGCGGGAGGACGGCAGCGGAGACCGGGTCCCTCCGGAGGCCGGGCCGGAGAATCGCGGCGGAGCCCAGGCCTCTCTGGAGGGCGAGCGGGAGGACGGCAGCGGAGACCGGGTCCCTCCGGAGGCCGGGCCGGAGAATCGCGGCGGAGCCCAGGCCTCTCTGGAGGGCGAGCGGGAGGACGGCAGCGGAGACCGGGTCCCTCCGGAGGCCGGGCCGGAGAATCGCGGCGGAGACCGGGCCTCTCCGGAGGTTGAGCGGAAGGGCAGCAGCGAAGACCGGGTCTCTCCTGAGGTCTAGCCGGAGAATCGCGGCGGAGACCGGGCCTCTCCGGAGGTTGAGCGGGTGGACGGCAGCGGAGACCGGGTCTCTCCGGAGGCCGGGCCAGAGAATCGCGGCCTCTCCGGAGGTTGAGCGGAAGGGCAGCAGCGAAGACCGGGTCACTCCTGAGGTCTAGCCAGAGGATCGCGGCGGAGACCGGGTCTCTCCGGAGGTCGAGCGGAAGGGCAGCAGCGAAGACCGGGTCTCTCCTGAGGTCTAGCCGGAGAATCGTGGCGGAGACCCGGCCTCTCTGGAGGTCGAGCGGGAGGACGGCAGCAGAGACCGGGTCTCTCCGGAGGTCGAGCGGAGGGCGGCGAAGACCGTTCTCTCCGGAGGCCGGGCCGGAGAATCGCGGCGGCGATCAGGCCGAGCGAAAGGACGGCGGAGGATCGCGGCGGAGGTTAAGCGGGAGGACGGCAGCGGAGACCGGGTCTCTCCGGAGGCCGGGCCGGAGAATCGCGGCGGCGATCAGGCCGAGCGAAAGGACGGCGGAGGATCGCGGCGGAGGGTAAGCGGGAGGACGGCAGCGGAGACCGGGGCTCTCCGGAGGGCGAGCGGAAGGGCGGCGTAGAAGACCGGGTCTCTCCTGAGGTCTAGCTGGAGGATCGCGGCGGAGACCGGGCCTCTCCGGAGGGTAAGCGGGAGGACGGCAGCGGAGACCGGGGCTCTCCGGAGGGCGAGCGGAAGGGCGGCGTAGAAGACCGGGTCTCTCCTGAGGTCTAGCTGGAGGATCGCGGCGGAGACCGGGCCTCTCCGGAGGGTAAGCGGGAGGACGGCAGCGGAGACCGGGGCTCTCCGGAGGGCGAGCGGAAGGGCGGCGTAGAAGACCGGGTCTCTCCTGAGGTCTAGCTGGAGGATCGCGGCGGAGACCGGGCCTCTCCGGAGGGTAAGCGGGAGGACGGCAGCGGAGACCGGGGCTCTCCGGAGGGCGAGCGGAAGGGCGGCGTAGAAGACCGGGTCTCTCCTGAGGTCTAGCTGGAGGATCGCGGCGGAGACCGGGCCTCTCCGGAGGGTAAGCGGGAGGACGGCAGCGGAGACCGGGGCTCTCCGGAGGGCGAGCGGAAGGGCGGCGTAGAAGACCGGGTCTCTCCTGAGGTCTAGCTGGAGGATCGCGGCGGAGACCGGGCCTCTCCGGAGGGTAAGCGGGAGGACGGCAGCGGAGACCGGGTCTCTCCGGAGGTCGAGCGGAAGGGCAGCAGCGAAGACCGGGTCTCTCCTGAGGTCTAGCTGGAGGATCGCGGCGGAGACCGGGTCTCTTCGGAGGCCAGGCCGGAGGATCGCGGCGGCGACCGGGCCTCTCCGGAGGGTGAGCGGAAGGGCGGCGTAGAAGACCGGGACTCTCCGGAGGTCGAGCGGAAGGGCAGCCGCGAAGACCGGGTCTCTCCGGAGGCTGGGCCGGAGGATCGCGGCGGAGACCGGGTCTCTCCGGAGGTCGAGTGGAGGGCGGCGAAGACCGGGTCTCTCCGGAGGCTGGGCCGGAGGATCGCGGCGGCGACCGGGCCTCTCCGGAGGTTGAGCGGAAGGGCGGCGTAGAAGACCGGGTCTCTCCGGGCCGGATCGCGGCGGCGGCGACCGGGCCTCTCCGGAGGTTGAGCGGAAGGGCAGCAGCGAAGACCGTGTCTCTCCGGCGGTGGAGACTGGGCCTCCGAAGACCTGAGGTCTAGCCGGAGGATCGCGGCGGAGACCGTTCTCTCTGGAGGCCGGGCCGGAGGATCGGTGGCGACCGGGCCTCTCCGGAGGTTGAGCGGAGGGCGGCGGCGGAGACCGGCTCTCTCCGGAGGTCGACGGCGGAGACCGTCTCTCTCCGGAGGTCGAGCCGGAGGACGGCGGCGGAGTTCGAGCGGAAGGGCGGCGGCGAAGAACGGCTCTCTCTGGAGACCGGGGCAGAGGACGGCGGCGGAGACCGGTGTAGGGGCAATAATGCTCTAAGGTGAGGAAAGCAGACAACAATGAGTCTATGGAGATTCAAAGATTTATTACCGAACACTGTCAAATTAGAATGAATCAGCAATCAACACAATGATCATAAGCAGAGGCAAAGAGCAACACATTACTATTACATACACTATTACTATTTGGCCAAATAGGGTGCAGCCTCTCTCAACCACTCAGTACTGGAGTTCAATAATTTGTCAGTTTCATTAGACTTTGGTTTTTGGTTTAGAGGTTGGTATTTGGATACTGTTGGCTTTGATTAACAGGATGTTTATTTCAATTTACAGATTAACCGTCCTGTTTTAATCCTTTTGTTGCTAGTTAATGTGTTGAGTGTTTTTTATCATCACTCTTTGTGTACAATTGGTCTGATCAGACAGTATATCATTTTGTGATTCTTATGTCTGTTGACTTTTGCAGAATTTAACTCATGCTATGATAAGGCAATTTAACAAATCTAAGTTTAGGTAAATTTCCTTATCATAGCATGAGTTAAGTTCGGTTCATTTAACCTCTTTCATGGCCCCAGAACTTGATTGTTTTTTGTAAATTCATTTTTGGATAAATACAAAACACATAACATTTAAGAGACAACCAGCTTTAAAATCATGCACAGAACATTACTAATGCAGGGAAATTCAAATATTACAACATTTCCTGTTCAGCTAAGGATTCCCCGGCCAGTCTGGACACCCTCCAATCTCATACTTAGCTCTTTTATACAGTGACCATCACGTACACGTTTAAGCAAACAGTTCAACTTTCATTCAGGGTCATTCATCTTGCTTAATCATTAAGTGTATTTGCGGAGATCAGTTAATACAGTTTGTTCATACATTAAAAGAGACCATCCAATCCGATTAAAAGAAAACGTTACATGAAATGGAGGAAAACCGTTTTTTCCCCCATTACAACCGGCTCCCACCGGAGGCCGGGCCGGGCCGGAGGACGGCGGCGGAGAACGGCTCTCCCCGGAGGTCGAGCGGAAGGGCAGCAGCGAAGACCGGGTCACTCCGGAGGCCTGGCCAGAGGACGGTGGCGGAGACCGGCTCTCTCCGGAGGTTGAGCCGGAGCAGGAGTCAGCTGGACTGCTGATAGGAAATCTGGAGCGCAGACTGGGAATTTGGAACTGTAGTCGGCCGGACCACTGACTGGGAACCAGAATCAGGAATCAGAATCAGAATCAGGCCAACGACATGACACGGGGAGCAGGATACAGTAATCGGGCGGACCGCCAACAGAATAGGAGGTGAGACGTTGTCCAGAACCACTAACTCGGGAAGAAGGGAGAAGTCGACCGGGACCCCCAACGCTGAGACAGCTGATGCATCAGCCAGGGTGGTTGGGGAGGGCTCCTGGTTTCCCTGTGGTGACGGGAGCCACAATGTCATCGCCTTCTGTGGCCACCACGGAACCCCGGAAAAACAGACTCATCCCTTGAAAGGGGACTCGTCAGGGTCCTCCAGATCCGAGTCAGACAGCGGGTCAGCCAGTGTGAAAAAGGGACCTGACGTTCGACGGGGGCGCTGGCTGCAAGCTGCCAAAAAGAAGACGACGGCTCAGGGTCTTCCAGATCTAAAGCTGGGTCCATATTATGGTCGGTTCGTTCTGTCACGGTGCGGGAAAGGCTGGACCCAAATGCATCCAACAAATGGGATGAAGTGCAAAATTGTTTATTAGAGTTACGAAACTGGTGAATCAACAGAACAGGAAACCGAAGCACGAGGGCACACAAGGAACAACAACCGGAGACACAGGGGTTAACAACAGCCGACATGAACAGGCAACATGAACAGACCAACCGACACAGACAAAGGGGAGCACATAGACTGTATAGACACAAGGGAAGCATGGGTGATTGAACACAGGTGTAACACATTAGGGCGGGGCAGACAATCGCCAAACAGAGGAACAGGACCAAGACAGGAAGTAAAGAAAAATTGAGACACACAAGGAAACCAACTACAAAATAAAACAGGAAGTGACAAAAGCCAAACATAAACTCAAACAAAAAGTGCCTGCCATGGCAAACCATGACAGTACTGGAGTTCAATAATTTGTCAGTTTCATTAGACTTTGGTTTTTGGTTTAGAGGTTGGTATTTGGATACTGTTGGCTTTGATTAACAGGATGTTTATTTCAATTTACAGATTAACCGTCCTGTTTTAATCCTTTTGTTGCTAGTTAATGTGTTGAGTGTTTTTTTATCATCACTCTTTGTGTACAATTGGTCTGATCAGACAGTATATCCACTGTCCCATTTTGTGATTCTTATGTCTGTTGACTTTTGCAGAATTTAACTCATGCTATGATAAGGCAATTTAACAAATCTAAGTTTAGGTAAATTGCCTTATCATAGCATGAGTTAAGTTCGGTTCATTTAACCTCTTTCATGGCCCCAGAACTTGATTGTTTTTTGTAAATTCATTTTTGGATAAATACAAAACACATAACATTTAAGAGACAACCAGCTTTAAAATCATGCACAGAACATTACTAATGCAGGGAAATTCAAATATTACAACATTTCCTGTTCAGCTAAGGATTCCCCGGCCACATTAAATACACAAAAGAACAATGACAGCTTACATTTATTTATTTATTCATTGAATGGAATTTAAAAAAGTTAAACAAAGTTAAAGTAAAATGTAATCCCTTTAATCCTTAGTCTTTACTTCCTTAAGTATAAGCGGCAGATTTATTATTTGCAACCTATGAATACAACGCATCTTTCTGTGATGGTCTGTGCCTCCACATTTAAATCATTGATCCCAACAGATTTACAAACAGTTAAACAGTTGAAGTGTCTTGGTCAAATATTTGCTGTGTATGACCTGTAACTTTAGGAGCATGAAGCCAGAACAATGTCATTCCTCTGCTGTCATTTAATAATATGCCAATTATCATTTCAGTGCAGCACATTTGAAAACATACATATTAAAAACCCTGCCATGTTCCGGAAGTTATAAGTAGCTCACTGCGCACTTACCCTGCTCAGTAGATATTTTTCAAAACAGTGATTATGTCTGGATCATGCACTCGAAAGACGTCTATTTCTTGTGTAGTACTCCTTGTGACATAACTGCACAACTTCCTGAAATGAATGCAGGCGTGGACATGGTTTGTCCTTATATCAACGTAAGTGTGACTAGTCAAACACCACTGCTATCAGGTCAGAGGTAAGCCTGAGCTAATAGGTGCTGGTTGTGGCCAAATATGAGACTGGTGTTGATCCTTCCATCTAACTCTGTTACAAAGTAAAATAAATAAATATAATCTACTTCACACATGATGAGTCACTTGATTTACTCAGATAACATTAGCAACAAGTTAACTTAATTTTGAAACAGATTTGCTTCACAATATCCTTGAATTATCTTTACATACACTCCAGCCCTGTTCAGATGTCAGCATGGAAATGAAGTGTGGGGTCCTTGATCTTTTTCTTGTAATCTTCATCAAACTCTTCACTCTGGGCCACAGTGAAATAGTTTTTCCAGTCACCAACCTTTCCTGAAGAACCACAGAGAATCAGTCAGGTATTTTAGGTGGAGAACTGATTTTCTTTTACATGTCTTATTTATTGTATATCATTATCTAATTTACCTTTTTTAGTGAAGGACAAAGTTGTGAAATCCATCCCTGGGTATATTGAAAGATTGACCATGTTGTCCTTTTCAAACTGGATTTCTCATCCAATTCTTTCCTTCTCCTGGACTGACAGAGACAAACCAAGAAAGCAGCAGAGTTTGTCTATTTCTCATCCAGTATCCTAGAAACATGGTCAGATAATTTCAGCACACAATTATCGTCTGCAAAAACCTGAATAGTAAAATAACGCAAGGACAACCCACAGAGACAACTAAATTACCTCAACAAGATCTTCTTCGAACATGTAATGGAGGTTTGAATATGTATCTTTCTTCTTCCACCAGCTGTTCACATGGTCATACCAGGATCCAAACACCACTGAGGCCACAAAATACATCAGAATGCTTCAGTAAATTTGGACTTTTTTTTTTTGCATCTTTGAAAAACACAAAACAAATGAGTTATTATATCTCATACATACTCTTTGGCATTTGGCATAAATGATCTCCATAAGAAAAAAAAACACAACAAATTATCTGGAGGCAAACATCACATGAAACATGATAGAATTTGTATTCATGAACAATTGAGAACTAATAATTTGTATTAGTAACTGGAGTTAGACATCCCTCAGATCAGCATTAGAGTTAGCATCGCACTCAGCAAAGCTTCCCTGTCTAAATAATGGTTACTCTGATGGCATAATCACTAAGCAAACTTCATTATTAAACATACCCTGCAGTTCTGCTCCCAAAAGGACTTCGGCACAAACAGGATTGGAAGATGAGTCCTCATCAGTCGAGGAGAAGTGTGAAGCTTGTCCACCATTTCTGTTCCTTTGAATTAGGTTAAAAAAAAGCCTGGATCCTGTACATTATTACAACCGTTTACATGTCAATGAACCGCACAGGAAATGTTTTTAGATAGAGTGCCTGAATAAAAACATGATGGAAGGTTACAATGATGGAGATAGATGCACACAACGCAATGACATATCACTATTCAACAATATTAACAATTTAATTTACTGATTTAAGCAAAAGAAAGAGAATTACCATCATGGAATTGTGAGTAAAATTCTCTATATCTCTCCCATGAACAACAGAATAACTTAAGCAGAGTGAGATTGATGAAATGCTCCTTTACTGCTCTTTTTTTTTAAAAAATGAATGGAAGATACAGTTACACACAACACTCACTACATGTGCAAGTGACATCCTGCTCTAACACAGAACATGACAGACAGATGTCCACAACAGACAGCTCTCCTTTATACGCTCAACGCTGCCCTTTTGGCGAATAGGCTCAATTTTGATTATCAGTGCATGATGAAAACACATCATAATCATAATTTTCCTCACAGTATACAAATGTTTGAATGTTTGTGACATAGGAAATATTATGAATATGTGACTCAACCTGGCTGCAGAGGAGTTAAGGGGATCTCCAAATTAGGCACTCTGCACTTGCATAAATAGGGACAAATTTCTGATGCTCTGATGTCTGATCAAAATACAGCAGGTCAAGGATGTAGGATTTTTTCCTATAGAGAGAAAGAGAGAAAGAGGCAGAAAGAGGAAAATAAAATAGAATCAAATCCTCACCTCTACACACATATCTTTTAAGAGCTGTAAAGCACTTACACTGACATCATGTCATAGACTGACCTGCTTTGGGGTATGATGCAATAAGAATATAATCTGGCCAGGCCTGGAAGTTTTGAATGTTCTTCCAAATTTCTGTGAAATACTGAGTCATTCAGACTCCAATGAAATCAAACAGTTCTGGTCGAAATGGTGAATCCATCTTTAAAAAACAAAAAAAAAAAAAATCAAATCAAATGCAAATCATATGATGATGGCATTTGAGTTATCATGCTGGTTATAAATGATGGCTTAGTACTGAAATACATCCGTTTCTAACCATTGCTTCCATACTCAACATCCTGAAAAACAATCTTAACCATCCCAAAATCAAAATGATCAAAAGATTCTTGCTTTGTTGTTAGATTAGATAGATGTATGCTCCTGCTAATCCATATTAGTGTCTGTATTTCTCAGTAGGCAAGTTCTTCATATTCAGGGAAAGAGTGAGAAGAAAAATTGGACTTGGACTTTTGACTTGGACTGGCCTACCAGAACACATCAGGAGACACACCATCATATATGGCCTTTGTCATACTTTACAAGAACCATATAGTAAACAGATGAACTAAACTAAACTGTAGATCTTTTTTCACTTCATTCTGTAAAAGTTAGAGGCCATAGAAACTGTGAGGTTAGAGTTCAGACTGGACAGAACAGCAATTAATAACAGATATTTTATTAGTTTTTGTCCCTTCATTTGATCTTTCTGTGATAAAATTCTGTAGATCTGAGCTGATCACATAGACTTTGAGGACTTTAATTAGCAAATTAGAATTACTACATAATAATATGAAAGCAGAACAGACGACAAAGCTATTCGTCATTATCCTGATAAATAAACTCGGACTGGATTCCTGTTGTCTTTTGCCCACTGCTTATTGAGTAAAACTGGAAGCTGTACTGGGAGCTTGAACTCACCCTGCTGCTCTGCTCCTCCTATCTGTTGTCTGCACTGTTACTGCTGCTAGATGCACAACTATTTGAAAACTTTTTTAGATTTTTCTTGATTTTACTTTCTCTGACCTCCGTAGGCTTGTTTGAGATTAGCAATTAGCCATTAGCCAGTACACTGCAGCTGAAACACTAGTGGTGCCAACTTTTGTGAAGACTGTTCTTCTGCATAACTGCTAACAAAACATCATGTATTTAACTTGCAAGCTACAGTTAACAACACAAGTTTATCAAGTCCGTCATACCCCATCACAGACACTCTGCCGCTGGCTAATGCCGGTCAAGATGCCAGTCAAGATGCCAGTCAAACACTCCCTGACTCCCGACAAGCCCCCTCTGTGTGTCAGCCTAAGCGCCCCACTCTCCCTTCATCCCCAGGAGTTCACATGGACTTATAAGACTATCGTGCCTAAAACTCTGAACTGCCAGTTTTCACTTCAGTCAAATAATGATGCTTTCATGCGAGGCTGCAAGACTCTTGATTTTGAACAGTTTAGTTTTTACTCTACTGTATGCCCACTTGTTAACATGATGTATTGGCTAGCTCCCTAGCTAGCTACCCTGTGTGCACATATTGCCCATATTTCTACATGTAATATAAACTAACAGCGTCAATGTCACTTTCTAATCACATACCGACATGCCAACTACACAAACATTCTAAAAAAATACTTACACAGGTAATTATTCAGATGTCCTGATTCCGCCACATCCATCTCTTTTGAGCCACTGGTTATTCCACGTTCATGGAGTGAGCTTCTGAGCATGTGCATCTTTTGACCTTTGGTAACCCTTGTTTTAAAAATTATACTGAGATTCTTTGAGGACAAAGATATCGTTGTCAAAAAAGCAATTAAATATTATAATTTACTAGTTCACTGAGTTTCAATTTTTATTTCTCTGTTTATTTATTTTCAAATTCTGATCATAACTGTCAAATGTTCATTCATTTTCAGGATTGTAACCCTACAAATCCCAGTTTGTTTACATAATGTCACAGTTTTCATATTATTTTCCATATACTAAATACTAAAAGGGAGATTTTTTTTTGGATCATGAAAAAACAATGCCATGAGAACCACTTGTTCTAGACTCATGGACAAGCAATCACACAATTTGCATAAAGGCGTATGCCATATTTGTAGTAGCTAGGCCACACACACTCACACTCACACACATCTTCAAAGCTCAATAGCCTACTGTAACTTATGTACAGTACTGCACCTATGAGGTATAATATATTATAGTCTATTGATTTTGAATGTAATTTATTCCAATGGTCTACAGTGCTCTATAATAGAGCAACAATGCCCCCAGTGAACACCAGGAAAATGAATGTATTTGCTCCATAGGCCAAATACGACTTCATCCAGGACTTTAGAATTAAAACCTATCATATGCACGGCTTTATGCTGTAATGGCAGACGGATCTGATTTTTCTCTTTGGGGTAAGATTAATAAAAAGTGACGTTAAAATCACGTAAACGTAAAAGCGTCCTGTCTGGACTCTGATCTTCTCCATCACCGGTCCTTCTAGACTTCTTTGTAGTTTGTGCTCTACTCTCAGACCTCACAATTGTACAGCATCTCGTCAGTAACGTAATTCACTGTTTTCTACCTGTCTGTAAAAATTGGGTGTCTGCACTGTTTCACCTGCCCTCGCGATTCTCTTCTTCGTGGACCCGCTTTTAAAGTAATCGCTGATCGGGATGAAACGTGCTTGGATGCAAAGCAAACAACATCCACCTCACATCCACTACATATCAGGGCGCCGCCGCCTGACACACTCCTGCTGTGGGTTAAAAATAGACGCTCTGTAGAGGAAATTGCAGCTGTTATGCATTGTGCTGATCACGGTACAGCGCCACCAGGTGGGCGCAATGCTGCAATTGCAGTTTCAAAAGACAAATCCATTTGAAAATAGTGTTTTCCATGAAGGCATCCGTAAGAATTTGACGAGAACTGAAAATGGCACGAAACTGATGGTCTCATAATCCTTTAAGTGAGTCGTTTATTTATAGGATTCTTCTCATTAGGACTTTTCATATGCTCTCTCCGAATCCCCTTGATACACCCCTGAGTCCCTATCCCAAAGTCCACCCTCACGGACTCACAGACTTGGAGGCGCCTTCCCCGTAAATTTGAGAGGGCTTAGCGCTGTCCCACTGTCAAACCATCTGGTGCATGAGGGCTCTCCAGCAGACATTTTGAGCCCTTTATGCACACTTTCTGTAAGAAAGGAAATTAAAAGTTCATAACGTTGTGACATTATTATACAACACCTCAGCCAAAGGAAGTGGACTAATCTAATTATTATTTTTTATTTATTAAATGTTTCTATTCTTCTTCTTCTTCTTCTTCTTCTTCTTCTTCTTCTTCTTCTTCTTCTTCTTCTTCTTCTTCTTCTTCTTCTTCTTCTTATTATTATTATTATTATTATTATTATTATTATTATTATCATTATCATCAATGAGCTAATGGACACATGGATTTCCCCTAGGGAATAAATAATATCTATCTATCTATCTATCTATCTATCTATCTATCTATCTATCTATCTATCTATCTATCTATCTATCTATCTATCTATCTATCTATCTAACAAACAAGTATGAAAGGAACGAACCCTAGTGTTAGCATTACAAGAAAAAAAACATTATATGACAGTATAACAAAGAGCTCACTGTGCACAGAGCTCAGAGCCAGAACTGCAGCGTTATTTGTCCTATGATGATATGATGATGAATTTCAAATATCCAAATTGAATCAGATCTGATCCAATATTATTATTTCTTGTTTCCAAACAGGGAGTGAAGGGAGGGAATAAAAATGTAGCCTACAATCAAAAGTCCCAAACCCACATTTAAAAGCAAATGTTTTGGCATCATCAAGGTAATGTGATATAAGTGCTGTCCCATTCCTCTTTATACCATTTTGGGCCCTTGCAGCCTCTCGCACTCAATCACTAACCAGGCTACATCAATTAAGTCTGTGAGGGTTCAGGGCTCAGGGGGTACATTGGGATTGGGTCTAACTCTTCATTGCTCACTCTTTCCCACACTCACCCCAACTCATCTCTTTATGTGTACTTTTGCCCCCTGTTTTCTCTCTCCTTTATTTTTCTCTCCCTCTTTTGCAGTTGTCTCTCAGACCCACAGGCTACCAACTTCACCAAGGCATGAAGTTATTCCTGATGTCCTCTCTCTCCTCTGCCTACAGTTAGTTGATTTGACATTCAGAGATTCACGGTAATATCAAAAATGTTTGAAATTAAATTTGTATTGTTTTCAATGGGAAGCTGTTAACATTTTTGTAGTTGTTGGTGGCTGTGGTGGTAAATGCAAATGATGCTAGAAAGTTACTTAGCGAAGCACATTTCTGTAATTGCTATAGTTTAATACTGGCACCGTAATTTAGAACTGCAAACAAACACCTGCGCCATAACTGTCCAGTCCTACTATTAGTTAGACCTTCCAGCCAATCAGACGTCATAAAGTCACAACTGGACTACACTCTGTTTCATTGGCTTCTGTAACTCAATGCAATTACTCATTCAGCATTTTCATTCATCTTTATGAAAAAATTAAGTGTTTGCTTTTCATATTCTAAGACAAATCCACAAATCCACCGCAGCATTCACTGTAAGAAAATGAAAAACTTAATGATGATGATGAAAACACTCTTTATTCCATTTAGTTCGATGGGTTGGGTTCAAAATGACAGAACCTAAATGAAATACTGGAAAAGATGATTCACTTTAGCACTTCAATTCACAATTTACGTGCAAACAACTAACTCTTTGATGCTTACTGAGCCTTCTTCAGAGTCAAACAACAATGGCAAAGATTTGAAAAAAATGAAATAACCTCCTCCAGGTAGAGAAAAGTCTCATTGCTTAACAGGGCTGCAAGGTACTAAGTTTTAATGTCATGTTAAAAGATGGCTCCTGAATTTTTTAACCTGGGTCCTTGTTTTCCCATGTTTTTGGGGTGTAAGTGAATTATAGGGTGATTGAAAAATCTTTGCCATCAGTCCACTATTGAGCAAGAATGGTATACCTGAGTTCCAGGTATAGATTCCATTTTCTAAGAACAATATACTATTCATCTCACAACAAGTAGTCAACAGGCCTAACGGACATTGGTGCGCTCAAAGAGTAGCCTCAGGTTGTGCTCAAGAGAAACAACACTTCAAATCCGATCTTCAAATGCAAATACATAGCTGTTGCATTCATTTTAAAACACTGTCATGCACAAATACATTAGCTCAACATTACATGCTTAACAAGAAATTAACACTATGAAACTAAAACACACCGTAGCTCTTTGCAAAAAAGGCGTCAGACATACCTTTACTGGATTAAGTGAGAAGCTGATCGCTGCTGGTTTCTTTGCTGTATTTCTGATGCTTTTCTCTTCTATTGAAGTTTTCCCCAGACTAGCAAAGGATTTACCTTCCTCTCTCTCTTTTTGTTGCGTAACACCATCCCCATTGTAATGGTACACTCCCTTATGTGATGTGAAATTCCAGCCCCCTCCCGGTCCTTCAAGATTTCCTGGGCTTTTACCCTTTAGTTTTCTCAGACCCATGGTTTATGTAACTGTGCAGTTTGTATGGCTAGACATTATAAGAACCAACTTGTATAGCCATGTTTACAGTGCCATACAGGTCCATGTTTGTGTGTATCAAATTTGAACAGGAAAGATGTTTTACTTTTTCCATGCCATTTGTTCTTTTTAACCTCACAGTATTATGCCTCAGTGAACTCCCCTTCTCCCCTTCATTATGTGGAGATAAAGAGTCTTGGCCCAGTTTCAAAAATACTTTTCAGTGGGTGTAGCGCAGGAAGTTCCCACATGAGTATTTAACCTAGGGCAATGCACAGCTCTGAATATATCTCAACCTTTTAGTGACACGCCTGCCCACTTTTTTTTGAGAAAGGAAAAAACAAATTAAATTGGATGTTAGGATTGTCTGTTGAATTTTATAGATTTCAATTCAAAAACTGCTTATCAATTCCAGTTCTTATCGATTCCGTTTTGATTCCGAAATGAGAAAAAAAAAAAAGTAAAACGTTTAGATAACATAAAAATCTTTATTCTTTTACGCGTTGACTGAACATTCACAAAGTAAGTAGTATTAATTTATATTAAAGTATTTATTTACAATAAAAATATATAATGCATAGCCATGACATGGACTATTGAATTATTACTGTTCATTATTAACTATTATTACTACAACTAATGAGCTGCTAACAAAGATAAAAGTCTTCAGCCCAAACTGGAACCTAAGTACGACTACAGTTGCTCTCATCCTGTCCTCCTTTCCTCTCCTCTTTCTCATCATCCTCTTCTTTTTTCCCTTTCACATCTTTCACACTGCTGTGTTGATGTGTGATAGTGTCATAGACAGATCCTGGTCCTGGCAGATAGCTATGTATGTTCAAGCAGACATGTAGCCTTTATTTGCAATAATAAAGGGTTATGGTTTTTAGGAACCAATGAGCAGAACTGAAATTCAGTGTTTTTTAAGTGTACTTGGTACTTGGCATTTGGACCTGGGATGTCTTGCATACAGAAGGATGAGAGCAAGACAGAAAAAACAAGACGTTTGTGAGAAGAAGGAACACTCTTCCAAAACATGTCAGATGTAAGATGCCTTTTTATGGCATAAACAACAGGAATATAAGGCTAGTTGTGTGTTTGTGTAGAAAACACTTAGCCTTAGCCAAAGATCTGAAGTAATATTTGTCTGCTGCACATTCATGCTGTGAATCTCACATTCTACCACATCTGGTGACTGGGGAGGCCACTAAAGAACACTGAACTTATTGTCATGTTCATGAAACCATTTGAGGCCTTTGCTTTGTGACATGGTGCATTATCATGCTTGAAGTAGCCATTAGAAGATTCAAACCATGATTGATAATAAGTATGATAATAACAATACAAATAAAATAATAATAAAATAATAACAATAATAATAATTCCCTTATTCGTATTTTTATAACTGCTTACTTTTATTTATTCAGTTATTTATAACTGATGCGTTAAATATTACACATAACAATAAACTAAACTAAAATATTAAAAAAAAACAAACGAATAATAATTAATTGTTTTAAATGAAATGATTTTAATCAAATAATTAAAAAAAAGAATAATTAAATACACACACACGAACACGTACACAACCAGAAGTGACGTAGTTAGTTCTGACTTCACAGGAACTGAAAAACGTATACAACAAAGATGGCGTCTCCCGGCGAGGCAACAGTGAGCGTTTCACACGTGGGGAAAAAGGTAACTGCGATTAAATCATGAGTGAAGGGTCATTACTGAAACCGAGTCCGGCTTTTGATATCACCAGCTAACACGTGCTGACAGACAGACAGTAACAATGGCTGATTGTTTGTTAGCACCAGCAGTGTCCTGGAGGAGGCGAGCAGACCGTCTCCGAGATTTTGTGTGTGTGTGTGTGCGCGCACACACACACACACACAAAATCTCTCTTTCTCTCTCTCTCTCTAACCTGTCACTTTTTGCTTCTCTTCAGCTGCCTCCAGCTCGGTACTGGCAGGAGACACAGGAGAAGGAGAAAGATGAAAACAAAGTGGGAGAAGGTGGAGGGCGGACTGAAGAGGCTCTGCAGCAGGCGGAGCAAAAGACACAGAAAACGAAAAAAAGAAAGCAAGACCAGACTCAAATAGATGGAAAGAAATTCATATCAGGGGTAAGAGTTTTATGTCAGTTAACATGTCGTCTTATGACTTGGCTTTTGAAAAGTGTCATATTGTATTATGTATTATCATTGTCATCTTATTATTAAAATAGAATGAAAGTGGCTGTTATGGGGTCGGGTTTGCATCTGAATGACACTGTCATTTCATATCCTTTCATTGTATTGTAAAGGTTGTTCAGGGTTTTTGTTTGAATACAAAGTGCTGCACTTCACCATAACTGTAAAGCAGCCTTTATCACCAGAAGATAATACAGTACCCCCAGATAATCTCTACTTTTCTATTCCATTATTGATATTACATCAACAGCCCTCTATTCTCGTATTAACAAAGTAGATCCTGTGTATTTTCTCTAATACTTCATACTCTCTCAGAAATCAGACCCGTTCCCTGGTCCTGCTCCAATTCCAGAAGACAGGATGCAGAAGTTCAAGAGGAAAGATAAAACTAAAAAGGTAACACCCCAATGTCTATTTTTTTTTTCTTTACTATTTCTGGTAAGTAAGTGGAGTTAGCTGTTGCCACAAGCCAACATCTCTTTGCATCTCTTCCTAGCATCGCCGCCAGCATTACAAACTGAAAGATATGATAGCTCGCTCCGAAGAAGCTTCAGAAATGGCCCAGAAACAATCCGCCCGGTTTGACCTCCTACTCCCAGAGGACGCAGGGTAAGCTCTTCTAAAAATTGCTGGTTTCTTCGTGCCACTGTGTGTGATGTGACAGAGTTTGAATGATGAAAATGTCACTTAAAGTCTTTGATTAAAATCCTGGTGGTGAAATATTTCCCTCTGATCTCAGGTTTCTAGAAGGAGATGAAGATGAAGACACATGTACGATCTCTCAGGAAGATATTGCAGATGTTGTGGATATAACATCTGGAGCAAAGGTGAGGACACTAGTGAAGCTGTTGGCATCAAAGTTCTGGGGCCTTATTTACTAAAACATCTCTATTTTGACTTCTTTAGACATACTGCATGTGCATTCTTTGCTAGTTATTTGAGGCACTGCAGGTGTTAAATCCACATCAGCTTGAAGTAAAAAAACAAAGTGCATAGACTGCATTTTAGGCTGGGATTATCATAAGCAAGACACAACACAGGTTCCCAACTTATTAACAAGTCTGAAATCACTTTTCTGTTGATTTGTTTCAAATTCTTTTTGGCTACAAAGAAGGTTATGTTGACTTTTTGTATTCCTGTAGATTTTGTAACCTATATTTTCTATAGATTTGGGAAAAAAGTAAAAATAATATTAATGGGCTGAAAAAATATGAAAACGTAGGATTTGAACAGAAATATTTTCCAGAGCTTGGTCTTGGGACCAATTCATGATGTAGTCAAGGGTTGAACAAAATATGAGACCTTACTGTATTTTCATGTCGCGTCACCCTGACACATAATATGCTGGACATCATGTCATCATGCTGGTGTCTGTGGCTCCGGAGACTCCTTCATAATACATAGTAGAAACTTAGTACTTACACCACAAGTACTCCATATAGACTAGATAATATAATTAGATTTTGGTGTACCTTATTATGTAAATTTGCATATCAATGAGGTAAAACAGATGTTTGTTTACAAAAAAACACTCATACTGTGCATACAGGACATAAAGCAATTCAAGTGCCCCTTGTTATGAATCAGACAAAAGCATACCATAGCAAATGATGTTTGGATTGCATTTGAACCGAATTCCAAGAGCACTATTATCAATCAATACCTATTTCTTTTCTTCTATTGCTGCTTTTCATTGATTTGTTTTTTTCCCTCCTCAGTACTTTAACCTTAAACTGTCTCAGTTTGGACCATATCGAGTGGATTACAGCAAAACCGGGCGGTCAGTATCACGCTTCCCAAACGCTGTCTTGGTTCAATATTAAATAATTTACCCTGATATCTTTATTGGTCTGTAGTTTTTTGGCGTCATATAAAGTGCTGGGGGCAAGTGTGTCTGCCTGTAGTTTGGTGCTCGGCAGGTAAATCTTTTAAATCTTTGAGTTGTGCATTTGTTGTTTATTTTGTGTTCTCCGTCCTTCAGTCACCTTTTGCTAGGTGGGAGGAGAGGCCATGTTGCTTGTGTAGACTGGCAGTCCAAACAGCTGTTGTGTGAGATTAACGTGATGGAGTCCATCAATGATGTAAAGTAAGTCATCTAACCGTGCATTATGCAGCACTACACGAAGCACTTGAACACTTGAGCACTTGATATTCTACAGTCATGCTTCACCTACCAGCAGCTGTGAACATGTTCTCTGTTAATAACATACATCTGTGCCTTTGTTTAGGTGGCTCCACAGTGAGGCCATGTATGCAGTGGCTCAGAAGAAGTGGCTGCATATCTATGACTCCAATGGAATAGAGCTTCACTGCATCCGCAAATTCAATGACGTCCTTCGTATGCAGTTCCTCCCCTACCACTTTTTGCTAGCCACAGCGGTGGGTTCATTATCACTGTGCTTAAAGGTTTTGCATGTGACATATTGCATGTTAATTTTGTAATGAAAAGTTGTCTCCCTCTGAATGCTGAATTTGCCACAAACCCAGACCCTATCAGGCTTTCTTTTGGTTAAACATTCATTAAATTTTTTTCCCTCTTTAACCAGGTAGAGTTCTCATTAAGTTTCAAGTTTTTCTTTTTCAGTAGAGGTGCCTGGCCAAGAGGGCAGCACTGACACATTGTTTTAATTATGACAGTAAATACAAATGACAGGCTAAGACAACTTATCACACACTACAAAAGAGTCCAGACAATATCCAATTGAGATGCATAAACACGTGTTTTTCTCTGGGATCATTCTGACAAGCAGAAAAATTAGACATTTTCACTAAGGTATGCTGGATTAGCTACTAGTGGTTCCTGTTTGGACTGTACCCATGTGCAGAGAACTGTTTCTGGATTACTTTGATACTGAACAAAAGTAATGATTATCAGGCAAGCTCAGGAGCAACAAGGAGTAGTGATTTCTAAGCAAATTTATTGAAGTTTATTCGCGATGGAAAGTGAAGATAATGGTTTACTTAGGATGTTTTAGAACACCAACATACACATGTGCCTTTCACGTCACGCAGTGTCTTTTCCCCATGTCGTTCTCTCCACACCTCACGAACCCCTGATACACAGTAAAATAAGAACAATAATTTTAAAATCAAACACAGAATTTTTTTTATAAACTGACTTGAATTCACCAACAGTAATCAGCTCTGATAAACTTTCCTGCTATTGCTCTTCTCTTCAGAGTGCTACAAGTTTCCTGCAGTACTTAGATGTGTCTGTGGGAAAGGAGGTGGCAGCCATCTGCACCAAGACTGGCCGGCTTGATGTGATGTGCCAGAACCCTCATAATGCCATTATCCACCTAGGACACCCCAACGGCACAGTCACCCTGTGGTCGCCCAACCAGAAAGAAGCCCTTGCCAAGATGCTCTGTCACCAGGGTGGAGTGCGCTCTGTCACTGTAGATAAGACGGGCACGTGAGTCACCATAAAACTCTGAACCTATCATTTCTTACCTCATGTTTTTGGATACTTAGAGACTGTTTGATAGTAGTAAACATGTTGCCATTTATATTTTACTTCATTCCTTGATAGTGTAACAAGTCTTGTAATCAGTGTTAAAATCTTTTCTTCAGTCCTCAAAAAATCACATCTACTCTCCCAGACAAGCACACCCAACACCCTTTCAGCAGGCCTATATTGCGCTCCACTGTTGTTCTTGTGTGTGCATGGGCTCGGTTGTACCTTGCCTCCTGTTGGTTTAAGGGGTTTGTGAGGAGCCATCAATCATGTTTTTAATGGGTAGTTCTGGTCTCCTACAGTCATAAACGCAACATTTCGATATTGTTCACCAGGTGTAACATGGCAAATAAAGGAAAAGGCAAGTCACTAACCAATAATCCATTCACCTTCAACTGCTCCTTCCTGGAGATTAAGCCTGACTGAGCTGTTATGCACTATGAAGGAATCAGGTCCCACTTGGCCATTTGTCCGCTATATTCGACAAAGCTAGATGTGACAGATAACCTACACATTGACAGAATGGAAACCTTATTTGTAGCTGAAGCTGAATTTTTTTCAATGATGGTGCTTTTATTGCGATGTGGGTGCAGTCAATTGCTCCAGTGACATTGACAAATCCAGCTATGGCGTGGAAATCCCCTATCACGAGTTTAGATATTCACCAGTACACATTTCAACAAATTGTTTATAAATTGAGAAAGATTTCGTACTGGGACCACTCTCTCTAGAAGTGGCTGAGAAGCAGCTAAGATGACACCGAAAGCACAACTCTAGAGTGCAGCCCCAGGGTAACAGCTAAAGGCTTAAAGGAATCATTGCAGTTTGTTAACATCTTTGTTCATGAGTCTATCATACACAAATCATGGACCACGGTGTCCATGGCAGACACCACAGAGTTAAAAATAAAAAACCCACATCACTGTGTGTCTCAAGTTTACCAAAGAGCACCTTGAAACTGCACAGCGCTACTGGGGGAGAAAAAATTCTTGTGGAGTGATTGTTTGGGAAGAACATGCAGCACTGTGTATGGTGTAAAAGGGGAACTGCATACCAACATGAAAACATCATTTTATTATCTTATAACCAATTGACACAGAAAACCAGAGCATTCCAAAGGGTTTACATACTTTTTCTTGTCACTGTAAAAACAGTGTATCACCTTTTCTTATTAATGCAAGTATCCAAAGCAAAGTGCTAGTGCCCCCCAGGCACAACAGTGGGTGGTTAAAGGTAGCAATTTAGCAGAAGATATCCATAAATGATAAACAGCCTCATTGCCAGGTTGAATAAAGTATACACTATTTTCTGTGGTGACCAATGAAGCGCAGTTTCCCCGATGTCCACCAGAGAGAAATCTGATGTTATGTTCTTCTCTATTGGCAGATACATGGTGACATCTGGAATGGATAAAAAGCTGAAGTTATACGATATTAGAGCCTTCAAGCCCCTGAAGTCGTTCTTCCTCCCAGCTGGAGCTTCCTGTTTATCCCTGAGCCAGAGAGGACTGCTGTCTGCAGCCACGGGAGATATTGTTCAGGTCATCATCATCTCCACACTACACAATTGATTTGTCATTGAAAAACGATCAGGCGACCATAAATACAATGATCAGCAAGAACTAGAAATGTGAAACTGTAGATTTTGCGTTGTGTACTTACCTCTTACCTCTTCACTATCAAATTGCTGGTACATAATAGACCTCTTTACATATTGGTTATCTGTATTTTGCATGTCACTCAATTTTTGTCTGTGAAAACTGTCTCTATGCAGGTGTACAAGGACGTGTGGAGCACTCCAGTGACTAAACCCTACATGGCTCACAGAGCTCAGGGAACAGTGTGGGGGCTGCACTTCTGTCCCTTTGAGGACGTCCTCGGGGTCGGACACGGAGACGGTTTCACCAGCATGCTCGTACCAGGTCCGACCTGATATCACACCTACATATTAGCCCTGACAGCAAGGGCGCACCATATAGGTCAAGGTCAAAATATCCATGACCACATGACATATGCCAATGCTAAACTCTAAACTGTTTTATTTTACTTTGAAAATAACTCATGCATTGCATTCTACTTTGCATTAAAACTGTTCTCATCCCCTCTTTACCGATGTTGTCCTCTGTTTAAATTCATAGGTGCGGGTGAACCTAACTTTGACGGTCTGGATGCAAATCCATACCGCAGTGCAAGGCAGAGGCAGGAGTGGGAGGTTAAAGCCCTGCTGGAGAAGATCCAGCCGGAGCTCATCACCCTGGACCCCAATGAACTGGGACAAGTTGACCACGCCACCTTTCAACAAAGGCACCAAGACAGGGTCCAAGCTCTGGTCAGTGTCTGGAAGAATCTGATCGGCACATATCAAATTTTATTTTATGTTACAAATCTGTATATTTTGAAATACTGGTTTAATATTGTTTACAACTTTTTTACTTTTCAGGGCTTTGACCCACTTGCCAAAGAAAAATTTATTCCCAAGTTTAAGAAAAAAGGTCGTAGTTCTGCTGGCAGTGTTGAAAGGCGCAAGAAGCAAGTGGCTCATGAGGACCAGAGGGTGAGTAATCCAGATTATAAAATGAAGTTTGATTAAATCACAGGGTGATTTCTTTTTTTCTGCTATGACTGCATTACTTGGCTCATCTCTCTTGACTTGTTTACCCCCCAGGATATAATCAGGAAAACTGTGGAGGACAAAATGAAGATGGAAAAAGAAAGAGAGGAGAGGGAAAAAAAGAAGGCAGTATTATCTAGCTCGAGATCCGCTCTGGACAGATTCAAAAAATAGAAAAGGAGGAGCCTTTGTGCTGCCCAAACCCCAGTGACATTCTGTGGGAGTGACTTTTGAACTTCATACAAAGGACACATTTTTTGGAGATATTACTCCACTGTGGGAGCAAAACACCAAACTGCCAAAATTCCCTATATGGTCTGCTAATGGTTAGCAGTTCATCAATGTTGAGTGCATTAGTGGGCTGTTCTATTTAATGCCTGTAGCCTGAAGAACTTTCTGTCTATGTGGGCAAATAATGTGAGGTGCAAGGCTGGCATGAGTGTCACCTAGAATAAGTGTTTAGTTGTGTTTTTTCTCTAATGATAAACAAATTTTCACTCACTTTTGACCTTTTCAAAAGATGTGCTTTGGTGGCGTAGCTGACTGAACATGTGTCAAATGTTTTATATTAATATGTTATAAAAATAAACATATCAAGCCCCTGAATTCAGTGTGTCATTTTACATTCTGTCTAAATGTGACAAACGCTCAAATATAAAACATACTGCCACGTTGTCAGCACATTCGGTAACTCTATTGAATGCTCAAAGTAACTCACTTTAAGAGCTGATGTGAGCACAGCTGGCATCCCTCCCAAACTGTTTAGCAGGCGTATCTGGGACATGTTTGGTTTACAGTTGCTAGCAACAATGACGATAGGCTGTGCAAAAGAACTGTAATGATTTCTTAAAGAATTATATATACAGTATACTGAGAAGTTTTTCAGAATATTTAGATCAGGGGAAGGTGGAAGGGGAACCAGGCAAGCAATTTAGGAGGAAGCCTCACAGCTGTGTCTTCGTTGCCTGATAAGTTTCCATTTGTCATATTCCCAGCCTCAGTTGAGTTCAATGTGAATTAAAGCTCAAAGGATGTGTTATCTTCAAAAGTTTCTCACACTACACCTGACCCGGGGAGAATGGTTTCGCTTTACAACAGGAATGACCTGCTAAATTAATTGAATTGAATTGTTACCAGCACGCACTGTTCTGAGGGAGTTAACAGTTCAAATGAGTTGTATATTAATTATTTGTGGATCTTTTATTTAGAGCATCTCTGCTTGTGATTCCTTCATATATTTTGGTGAGATCACATGCTAATTTGTGCTCAAGTCTTGAATGTGATAGACAGGTAATGACTCATGTTAGAAGTCATGATGGTTCAAGCATGTCATGATCTGCTGGAAGAAATTGTCACGCTGCCTCTTGCCTATTCATGTTCTCAACTGTTGTGAAGTTCCTTAGCTTCATTTATTAAGGAGAGAGGGTAAATACAATGTAATTGAAATGTCGAGTGTTGAAACTGTGCGTGTGAGTGTGTGTGTCTCTTTGGAAAAAGACACCAGGCACACCTAAATTAAGATACATAGGGTTTTTTTTTATTGGTGGTGGTATTTGATTCACACACATATTTCCTGAGTGTAAACACACCGACTACTTTCTTTACATGGTGATAGGAGCGGGACAGCCTGACGCTTTACCTCTGACAGATGGTAAACTGTCTATTAAAATAGAATCCTTCAATATTGGTTGAGCAGAGACTAAACCCAGTCCAGATACATCAGTGCAAAACAGCCATTCACACTCAACTTAATGTTTACAGACAAAAGTTAGAAATACTACTGTTCAGTGGCACTGTGTATCACATCACCTTCACAGTCATATTTTCAGTGATCTGAGGCAGCAGATTTACTGAGCTGTCAAAGAAAGAACTTCACCTGCTGTCTGTTCCCACAGCCGGTCAAATACATCTCACTGTCTCCAACAGAACAATTCATGCCCTGTCATTGCACATATAATCATGTCTTTATTATTGAATAACAACATGAATTCCTTTCATGTACCGAGGTGATTATTTTTAAACACAACAAGTTTTGATTAATTATTACTTCCTTCCTACCGGGTATATGCAGCTCGTGATTTGCTATCTATTTTATTGTTTTTTGGATACATGCATTTAAGCATCTTAGACTAACATCTAGAATTTAAGTACCTGGTGATATACTACATATATAACAGTAGCAGCTTATAGATGTCGACGTAACGTATTAATAGAAGTACTTGTTCCGATGTGCATTCATCAAATAAGCGACTGTAATTCCTCGCCATATTCTATCAGCATGCCTGTGTTGTTTGTTCTACATCTACAGTATGTGTCAGTGTAATAATGCAGGATGCTGTAACAGTCTAAAGATAGGCTAAAGATTACTGTGACAGTTCTTCAAACTACCAGCTGCTCGTCCCCTTTTCTGCAAAAAAAGCCAGTAAAATGCATTGTAGTGTTTAAAAAAATAAAGCTATAAAAATAAACTGACATTTTTTCAGTGCACACAGTGTAGCTTCACAATCTGAAGAGCACTTGTGCTGTTCACAGTATTGAAGCGAGGCACAGCCTCACTGATTCCAGTTTTCAGCAACCCTCACAACCCCTGTTCCAGCCCCAGAGCTGACCCAAGCATCGCCCTGACTTTGCACATCCCCAGAGAAGCACGCAGACTCAGCCATGAGCAGGGATGAGACGAATGAACGTCAGCCCAGAAGTGCAGCATCTCCCTGGGAGTGATGTGGTGGATGGACACCATGGCCTGATAGCAGCAGCGCCCATAGGGAACACCTGGACCACCAGAGAAGAGAGGACAGTGTGAGGGCAGCACCCCAGCTGCCCGAGCACACAGACCTACAAACACATCCTCTGGGGGCAGAGGTGTGGATAAAGGTGAAGCAGAGGCTGCCAGGGAAATTTTGAGCAGTGCAGAGCGGGACAGAACATAGGCCGTACCACTGCAATAGTCTGGAAAGACAGAGGGAGGGTAGGCCCCTGCAGGGAGGTAGTGCTTACTATCCGGGTCACGGTCCGGAGCCACATGTAGATGCACCCGACCAAGGTACAAGTCTCCTTGTTCATAGGGGTTACGGCTCTTGTTCAGAAAGTGCAGGAGGGCACTGGGATTGAACAGGACATCATCATCTACTTTGGCCATGAAGTGAGCATGAGGGCAGAACCGACGGGCCCAGCCCAGCATGGACAGGGTCTTCAGGGTGAGGTTGGAGTAGGTGTCCAAAAAACGCCCTTGAATCAGATCTCCTCGCTCCCGGGCCTCCTCTATCAGCAGTTTGGCCAGTCCCGGGTCAGACGTCACACCCACCATGAAGAGGGTCATGACCCGCAGGCCCCTCACCTCCACTTCCCCTCCCCAGGTGTCCCTGATGGCTTGGCGGGCCCTCTGATTGGCAGGAGCCGTGGTAACCATGGTGATGAGGTAAGGCTTGGCACGCTGGCACACGAGCGGGCTGGGCATGAGCAGGAACTCCTCGGGTCTGGTGGGAGGGACGCTCTGTGGGGGGATGATGCCGGCATGCGGCTCCACCACCGTGTTCATGCTCATCGAGGTGACCCATGACTCGATGAGGTCCACAAAGAGCAGAGCCAACAGCGCTGCGCACGCCATCGCCGCGCAAAGAAATGGCAAAAGCCCAGGCCGGCTCCCCCGCTTCCCAAACCGGGGTTTACATACCCCGGTACATAGTCCCCGTCCGACCATGACCAACCTCCACGACCGCTGCGCAGCTCTGAGGACGGCGATGGCTGCTGCAACTCGCCCTTTTCCCCCTTGCCTTCCTTCCCTTGTCTCCACGACTAGAATCCCCCTCTATCCCTCTACCATTGCGTCTTTGTGCGTCCCCTCCAATCTCGTTCTCCTCGCGTCGCTGCTTTGCTCAGGGATCCAGACCCGCAGCAGCAGCCGTGGGACAGAGCCAGTGTCGGTGAGGATGCGGTAAAGGAGCTGGTACTCTTGTGTTGATGCTACAGCTCAGTCAGTTTTAAAAAAGTGGGATATGCAGCTGCGCAAATGAAACGGTCGATTCGACAGCAACCCGGAGCTATTTTTGCTCCACCCTTAGGTAAAGCGCGCCCCGATGCTCTCTGATGATGTGACGAGGTTTGCTTTTGATGAGCAGTTTTATTTTCCGGTCATCAAGCTGCGTATTGACTTTCCTGTGGCCGACTACACAGAGATCTAATAGGACCATATCAATAAATATTGACCTAGTGCATAAAGATTTTTATGCACTAGGTCAATACTGTATACAGTATACTGTATACAGTATACTGTAGCGTATAATCATTTGTTAATAAATAATACCCCGTGTCTGTTGGCGCAGTTTGATCATTTGATCAAAGGATTAAAACCTTGTATTACTGCAGAGAAAGTGTAGTTGGCTTGGGGCATATATCCTACTGTTTAGGCTACTAGATTCCGATTCCCATTATAGCTGCAATATGGGCAAATAATAGCGAAGCATTTATTGGCTGGAGAAATGCATGAACAGTATGATGCAGATCGTAATAGGAAAGAATAGAATATTATATAACGTTCGTTATTTAAATTTTTCTGATCGAAAAATGAAATAAAAGTTAGGAAGAATTTCCAGTGTTCATATCAGAATCGTGAGTAGATGGCGTGACCACAGTTTTGTATTAGTCACATGTCAAACACTTCAGAATGACTGTTAGCCACTGGGTCACAGGACGTTGAAGCTAAAAAGGCACATAATTTTGGAAATATTAATGCTTTGACTTAATTGATAATATTTAGGCCTATTCATAAATAGCCTATTATGCCAATAAAAAAAATGTTTTCATGTCATGTGACCCAGGGCTTCACAATCTATGAAAAAATGTGTAGTAGTGATGATGATGATGATGATGATGATGATGATGATTATTATTATTATTATTATTATTATTATTGTTCATCACTGTCATTTGACTGGATGTGAAGCTTTCCCGTGCGCCTATTGTTCTCCTGCACATGCAGAGCTGTCACGCCTGGTGGTGCAGGGCGACACCTTGTGGTCATTTGGTGGTAATGCCTGTTTTCGATCTATCCATCTATCTATCTATCTAGCTATCTGAGTGCTCAATGAAAAATGCCTCAAAGCATTTGTTTATTCAATATAGGCCTATTGTTTAGGGCAGTTGTTCACTGAACAGCTCCAGTCCAGTGGACTACATTTCCCCCATTTGTTTAAATACAAAAGATGTGTTGCAAAAACAGATGCCTCAAATTTCCAAATCTTGAAACCAATATGTAAGTTTTACTTTTTTACATATGTACATAGGCTATAAAACTATAAACAATGTCAATTCTTTGTGATTACAGTAGATGACACAGTGTTTTAGCTGTTGTTGTTGCTGTTTGGATATATCTCTTGGAATGAATTATAAATTACCTTAAATAACACATATGAAAAATAGTTTAGTGTGTAGCTTTTATTGTACTGTAAGGGCTGCTTTAATGATGAACTTGCATCAAAATAGCAAATAAAAGAATAAATCTTGATCTGATTTTTGTAACTAGATTACTTTTGTTTAACATTAAATTCACGAGTAAACACTACAGTTTTGCAATTGGCAACATACAGTATAAACAGCCAATGCTCTTTGAACACCTCGTTTTCTCATGAGCTCATGAGGGAACAGAGGGAACTGAGAAATATGTGTATTATTATTATTATTATTGTTGTTGTTGTTGTTGTTGTTGTTGTTGTTGTTGTTGATGTAGAAAACTCCTCATGAATTATTCTATAGCACTATGTGAGTTTTTATATTTGGACTTTTGGAATATCCCACCGAGTATCAACTTCATTGGAACCTATACTGGCATGTTATTATTTGGGACTGGTTGGTTCTTTATTATAGGCAGTTAAAGGTCAAAGTAATTCAGTTACAAATGGTCACAAATGCTATTATATACTGTAAAGAGCATTTGAAATAAAAATGTCTGATGTCTACATTGCTGCAATGGTAGAGACAGGGTGGCTGGCCCCCTCTCTGTTGGCACAGCTACTGCCAACGGTGGTTCACTGCTCTAAGTCCCAAAATCCAGCGGGCAAAACATTAAGTATATGTTATATACATATACACATATTCTCAAATGTCAAAGAAATGTTAGAGGAACAGGAAATTAAACAAGTTCAGGTAGCAATATCTGTGCATTTGGTAGCTGATTATTATAATGAGGTTGCATAAATGAAACAGTTATTTAAATGTGATGGTCAGATGATTCTTGATTCTGAAAGCAAAAAGCAATATCATTCTTTAGGAGGTTTATCTGTATTTAATTTATAATAAGCCTCCATTGTGTGTTTCCCTTTTAAAGACATAATACATGCATCTGTTCTTTTATGACTTGTTACAGTATATTTATTGCTATCAATTTAGCCATCTGTATCCCATATCCTTGATTATTCCCCTCATATTCTGTGTAATTCATCCTTTTAAAATACATCACCACAACTGTATGAGACTGGCCCTGGCAGCACTACTTTAAAGTGTGTTTTGTATTGGACTCAATCTTAACACAACCTTGACAAATTCTACATTGTCTAAAAGCTCTAAGTCTCCGGACTTTATCTGTGCAAAGCACTGTAGGATTCCCATATATCACTGTAACAGATATTGGCACAAAATTGGTTCAAACTTGTGGCTACGGCTCCAAAGTATTTTCAATATAAAAGAAAAGTGGGTGATTCTTTCCTTGTCCAGTCCACAAAAAACATACTCGTAATATTTGTAATATACAAGAGCATTTGTCACAGTCGCTGTTAAGTTCTATATAGTATCATATATATGTACATATATGGTTTTTAATGTACTTTACTTGAGTATATTTCCATTTTTATTTCAGGGACTTCAGGGGATATTCAGGGAAATATTGGTACTTTTTACTGCACTACATTTATTTGGCAGCTATAGTTACTGGTTGCTTTTATATTAAGATTTTACTTAAAGAAAAATATGACGAGCATATAAAATACACTACACTGTTAAAGTTTATACCAGTGGTCTCCAACCTTCTTTAGATTTAGTTTTATTGACAACTCTCCAATATATCTGCAAAAATAGTAGAACATATCAAAGCTGAAAAAAGTTCACATCCCGCCACCCCACAATTTATTTATTTTCAGCCATAATTAATTTGAATCATTAACAATGACAGGGGAAGCAAACTGATAAAAAAGGATCCATGTTGAATTTTAGTGAAATAAAGGTCAGCACCATAGCAGCAGCAAACTCTTGTTTGTTTATTTTCCTACAGAAAACGTATTAATTCATTCAATTTATTCCACCACTGGCTATAATCTATAACTTGACAACAAAGTCCCCAGACATAATGACGTCATGCTGTCTGGCTCGCGCGGAGGGGGTGGGGGGCGCGAGAGAGGAAGGAGAAAAAAACCTCAACCATCATCAACACGCTGGCGGTGCGGGGTCACGAACTATGACCTTTAACAGAAGAAAACCAAAACAAATATTTTATAAAATAGCAGAGCGTCCTAAATCCGAGAACGTCGTTTCCTGGAGGTAAGTCTCAGTCCTGGGTTGAAAACCGTAGAAAGCTCTCGGAGATACTGGATGATAAAAGAGCGCAGCTAATCTCCCGGCTAGCTTGTTAGCTAGCCGATGCGGAGCTCCTTTCCTGCCCGTCTCCGGCAACTCGGGATCCGGGCAAGGACGCTGGGCTCACTATGCCTACGCGGATATTCTTTACACACAGTTAAATTAATACTTAATACTATACTTAATACTTAACACCCATGTCGGCTTAACCTGAACCAATCTCTGCATGCCAAGACGACAAATCCAGGGGGAGAGACGGGCAGAGTCGGCTCTTGGTGCAGCCCTTGTTCGGTTTACTTGTATTAAGCTAACGTTAGCTGGAATAGCTAACATTGGAAAGATGTAGCTGCTGCAGATGAACTCGACCCTTTTACCTTTGCCATTCCGGGCACAGGAGTGGGTTGAAACAACTATGACTTTATTTACCAAAGCTGCATTTTTACATGTACTACTAGCACATTGACAGTCGTCCACTGTACGGTCTGGAAAGAAAACTGCACTAATATATTATCATTAGGATTCGTCTTCAGTGTTACTGGCTGACTGCCAAATTCTCCATTTTGTTCTGTATTGTGATGCGTTTGGGGAAGGAGGTACTGATGGACATTGTGTTGCACCAATCAGTGAACATTATGAAAGAGCATGCTGCTCCCTTTGGTCAGTGAGCCTGTGGAGCACTGCAGGCACATCAATCTTTTCACTATTATAACCCCAGGTCAACAAAGACAGTTAAAACTGGAAACTGAACGGAGATTATTGATGGAAAGAGTTAATGTTGTTATGGCTGAAAGCATTAGTTGATTAAACGATAAGTTGATCAACAGAAGAATAATTGGCAACTCTTTTGATAATCTATTAATCATTTAAGTCATTTTTAAGAAAAAATAATGACAAATTTAAACATTCTGTTTCAGCCTCTCAAATATTAGGATTACTAAAACTAACTTAGTTTGGGTGCCCAAACTTTTGTACATGCCACAATTACAGTTTTTTATTTTTCTCCCCCTTTTTAACTTCATGAAATAAAAAGTAAAAGTGCATTGACATTTGAAGAAAGGCTTATCTTTTAATTTGTGTTACCTGGTAGGATTTGTGTTTACTTCTTTTACTTGTCTTCACTTCCTAAATCAACATAATATGTTATTTGCTCGTGGGTGGCATAGACAATACCTCTTTATAGTTTTTCTGCACTGATTTGATACACTTCTGTCCACTGTGTTCAAAGACTGCAAATGCTGTGAGGCTATGATCCATTAATCTGTGTTCACTTAAGTTTTAATGATGTGTGGTTCTTTTCACACAGTTCTTTCTGCTTACAGTAATCTCAGTGTTGTTTCCAGTGAATAGAAATCTTTTTCTGTGGTGTTATTAGCTCATTCTCTGTGTGTAAATATGCTGAGATACAAAAAGTTTGACTTTATAATTGGTATGAAACCACATATAAAAGAACACACCAGGTTGGTTACCTGCTGTTTGAAGAAAATGGAAGCCACAAGAGTAGAAAAGACAGCTGTGATCTAGGATGTAGTGCATATGCATTCAGACCTCTTCTTTTTTTCCAGTTTGTTATGTTGCAGCCTCATGCCAAAAAAAGGAAAATTTCCCTCATCAATCCACACTCAATACCCCATAATGACAAAGGAAAAACAGAATTGTAGAAAATTTTGGAAAAAAAGCCCTGAAGTATCACATTGGCATAAGTATCCAGGCACTTGAAATGTAGCTCAGGTCCCTCCCATTTCTCTTGATCATCTTTAAGTGTCCACTGAAGGTTCCCAAGAGCACAGTGACCACAGTGGGAGAAACTTCCAGAGGCACAACCAATTCTAAGCATCATGCCTGGTCTCCTCCTCCTAGAATTGAGCCCAGACAGTTCAATCTTGGTTTCATCAGACCAGAGAATCTTGTTTATCACAGTCTGAGAGTCCTCTAGGTGCTTTTTTGCAAACTGTCACTGAGGTGATGCGTCCATCTGGCCTCTCTGCCATAAAGCCCAGACTGGTGGAGGGCTGCACTTTCAGTTTTAATGTCATAATCCTTTATGATACAGCATTAATATTATTTTTCTAAAAATGTCCCAGTGTTGTCCTGCTCTTCTGTGACGGTTTGCACCTTTGTGCTTGTGGCATCTTTCCAAACAGACCTCACTAATGACCTTACATCATCATGACAACCAACCCGAATCTGCTGTCTCAGCAGAAAGTGGATTCTGAGCACGAGGCAGAGGTGGGTGTGCAGAGGAACAGTTTCATGATGTAAATTCTGGCAGTCTTAAGTTAAATCATATGAAGTTTTTTTTTTTCTTTCTTTTTTTTTTAATTGAAAGAAACTGATGCTATGCTCTTTGATTGTGTGGTAAGTAGGTGCTGCATTTATTTGTTGCCATAGACATACCTTCTCCAGACAGTTCCCTCTTGTATTTCTTTAAAAGTGTTTTATAATAACATCCCTATGCTTTACACACACACTCAAGTTAAATATATTTGTGTTCCGGACATACTGATTTATAATTTGTATGTGTATGTTTTAAAAAATTGTAGGTGTCATCCTCTCCGTCAGACTCGGTGATGAGTGAGTCTCCACAGCGCTTTCAGGTCATCTCCACTGAGCCTGCCACAACACCACAGCGAATACAGGTAACCGCAGCTGGCTTCAGAGAATGTGACACTGCTCCTGCCTGTTGATGTTGTCCTCTTTCGGTGCATTAACGGCAGCAATGAACACGTTGATGTTACGACATGTGACTAAGCTCTCCCATCTTCAATGTCACTCTGTTCCCTTTTTTTCCCTTTAACCCCATTGGTGTATGTTTATTTCCACCTCCCTCTCTCTGTGTCTTCCTCTTCCATCTTGATCACCTTCAGATTGTAACTGACCAGCAGACAGGTCAGAAGATCCAGATAGTAACAGCGATGAACCCGTCCAGTGCTCCCAAGCAGCAGTTCATTCTCACTACGGCTGACAGCTCAGGGGCGGGCAAGGTTATCCTGGCCTCACCAGACAGCCACAACACTAAGCAGCTCATCTTCACTGCTGCTGACAGCCTGATGCCAGGAAGGATACAGGTACAGTGTTACCCACAATATCACCCCCTGGTATATAGTGTGATGGTGCCATTGGCAATATCTTGGTCTTGATATTTGTTACTATTTTCAGACATTGTTATAACATTGCTTTTCAGATTGTCACAGATCCACTGTCAATGGAACGGTTGTTAGGGCAGTCTGGGGACTTGAGCCGATCGCAGCCAGTGGAGTACTGTGTGGTGTGTGGAGACAAGGCTTCAGGTACTGAAGCTTACTTTACATGCAGATGTGATACTTTGTATGTAACTTGAGTGATGCATCCTGATGTCAAATCAGATAGTATGTTTAGCTTCACAATGTCAGCAATCTCACCCATACACATACAGTGACTCAGACACTCTGACTAGTCTTCTCTGTGTTCAGGGCGTCACTATGGAGCAGTCAGTTGTGAGGGATGTAAGGGCTTCTTCAAGAGGAGCGTGCGGAAGAACCTTACCTACAGCTGCCGCAGCAAACAGGACTGCGTCATCAACAAACACCACCGCAATCGCTGCCAGTTCTGCCGGTTGAGGAAATGCCTTAAGATGGGGATGAAGACTGAGTGTGAGTTTGTATCTCAATCTGCAATACATGGAGATAAAAAATACGGTTCCACTCAGAGACAAGTTATTAAAAAGTGTGTAACTTCATGTACAAAGGTCTTTTTTTTTTTTTTTTTCTTGCCTGTCAGACAGTAATGTTGGTTATAACTTTTTATTTATTTTTTTTCAATACATTTGCTGGCTGTCGAGATGTTGTTGATTGTGCATGCCGGAGGCTTTAGATCAGTACCATCAGATCTGTAACAACACTCACTACTGCTAGCTACAGTAGCCAGGAACTGAAATTAATTTATTATTATTATTATTAGTATTATTAGTATTATTAGTATTATATTTTATGGTTAATACATCCATCCATTTTCTGCCACAAAAAGGTCATGTTAATTGATTATTACTGAGTTATTGTTGTATACAGCTGTGAAGTACTTAATAAAATGTGATATAAATTCATATTTATTAAATGATTTTAGACTTTTAATTTCTCAACTGGTTTTCTCGCATTATTTGACCAGTATGATCATGGAAAAGGCATTAAATTGCGTTCTGCGCGATCTTGAAAAGTCTTCTGCAGTATTCGCCTAATTTACTGATTATGCATTTGGAGGGAATAGAGAAGAGAGGCGATCTTTTAATCAAATAATGCAGGTTCAAGCACCTTGGTCAATTGCACTTCCTTCATAATTAGAGGAGTTCTAAATATTTAAACCAAAAGGACCTTGTGTCTGCAGCAACACTGATTGTCCTTCAGCAAGACACTGAATTTCTACTAGTTTCTGCCATTTCCCTTTGGGATTAATAAAGGATTCAATCTATCTGTCTGTCTATGCTAATCTGTGTTTTGAGGAATCGATTTAAAAAAAAAACAACAACAACAAACAAACAAAAAATAAATATTCCTCTGGGATCACTTTTATTGTTATAACTGTTCATTTCTAACCATTGGAAAAGGGTAATTTGGGTTTGTCTGCTACTGTTTTTTTTTCCTCAGCTGTCCAGAGTGAGAGGAAACCCATCGATATAGTGCCCAGAGAGAAGCATGCCAACTGTGCTGCCTCTACCCAAAAGATCTACATTCGCAAGGACCTAAACAGTCCGCTCATCGCCACACCGACCTTCATCTCTGATACAGAGACAGATGGCTCCAGGTTAGTGGGAATCAGGACTACACACAAACCTCAGGCCTTGGCCTATGTTTTGTTCTATTTCTCAGCTGTTGGGTGTTTTTTAAAATGGATTTTGTTAATGCTCTGTGCCATGTGCAGATCCAGCCTGCTGGACCAGGGGATGCTGGTCAACATCCAACAGCCGGTCATCCAAAGTGATGGAACTTTGCTGCTTGCCACCGACCCAAAGGTACAGATGTGTCCGCAGATGCAGTAAATAGAACATCTGTCTGCTCTGCCTTATACTTACTTACTAACCATACTTATACCATAAGTACATACATGATTTTTCTGATAACTGATTTACGGTAGATTCTGTCTTTATTTAGGCCTTCAGTGTGTTTTTAAGATGCATTTGCCATTCATGTTACATGCCACTAATTTTTGAATATTTTGTCTTGAATGGATGGAATGGCAAGTGATCTTGGCCCACAAGATGAAAATAATCTGCACTGTGTCTTTTGTCTTCAGATGGAGTCTGGACAGGGGGACCTGGGGACACTAGCTAATGTGGTAACATCACTGGCCAACCTGAGTGACTCAATAAAAGAAAATCTAAACAATGGTGACACCTCAGACAACCAACACGAGGAGCAATCCGCCAGCGAGATAACACGGTTAGTCAGCAGTGCACAGAGAGGAGAAGAATTTGTTTGTTAGAGGTATCAGCAATGTTTCATCACTCACTTTAACAGGCCCTCTGTGAATTATTATTATTAATTAATTTTTTTCCTGTCTGACTTGGCATCACGTGTCAAGTCAGTGGCCTTTATAGAAGCAGATTATTTTGAAAGGGAATGTTTTGCTCTGGGAAAAGTTGAAAAAAATGACAGGTACAACAAGGACTTCATCAATGGTTGTCTTCTTGCTTGTCTTTTCAAGTGTAATGTATTTTGTATAAATTTGTTAAAAGTTAAAGTTCATGAAGTATCATTTCACCCATTTAAGCCAGGAGGCCACAGTTAACCAGCTCAAACTGGCATTCAGATACTATAAAAATGAGTAACCCTTTAAATATGTAAGACATTTACTTTACTCTTCTTTTTGATATTTAATGCAGGTCATTTGCATTACGTTTTGGGTTGTAATATCTGCAGTGATTTCATCACTGATATTATCCTATTCTAAGCATTTTAAATAGCACTTCATAGATTATTTTGTATTTTCAATTTAATCTTTTTTTTTTCATTTTATTTACATGATATAATTTCGTTATGATTAGTTAAAGCTTCATTGTTCATTTACACAGCAAAACCTTCCCAAAACTACTGTAAATGACCACAAAACAAGAAGGTGCTGAGTGACTGAAAGATTAAATAATATATTTGATGCAAAGGGTTAGGGTTAGGGGATGTTTGGATCTTTTTGTTATTCACTCAGGTAGAAGGAAATGTATATTTGTTTTGTGTGTTGTGCACAGTGCCTTTGACACCCTGGCCAAAGTCTTCAACCCACCTGAAGAAGGGGTCGGACAGAGTCTGGCAGATAAGTCGCAGTGCGTTGGTGGAACAACAATCCAGCTGATTGGTCGAGACCAGGAGACCCCCATTATTGAGGTGGAGGGGCCACTGCTCACTGACAGCCATGTTGGCTTTAAGGTGGGTGGAGTCAACTCATAAAGTTAATGGCCACAACAACACACTTGTTGAACATCGCAGAAGAATTCAAGGCAAGGCAGAAGTCTTTGTTAAACAAAGATATGCATGTGTACATATTAGCAGAGAAGGGTGGTAGTAGAGATACAGACAGGAAATGTGGGGAGAGAGAGGGTTACGGCTTGCAGCGAGGGTTCTCCGGTCAGGAGTCAACTTGTGGACATTGCAGTAACATGGTTTGCTGTTTGATCACTGGGGCATCCTTTTTCTGTGTCCTCCTGTCTTTCCCCTAGCTCACCATGCCCAACCCCATGCCAGAGTATCTGAATGTGCATTACATCTGTGAGTCGGCTTCCAGGCTTCTCTTTCTCTCCATGCACTGGGCGCGCTCCATCCCTGCCTTCTCAGCTCTCGGGTAAGAATGTATTTGACACATGAAGACGTAAATTACACTGCAAGCTCCCATCTATTGACTGTATATAATATTGTGAAGTCCACAGGCACGCTATCTACGCACTCACACCCATCTTTCTTCCTTTGTCTGTCTTTTTCAGTCAGGAGGCAAACACCAGTCTGGTGCGAGCCTGCTGGAATGAGCTGTTCACTCTGGGTCTCGCTCAGTGCGCTCATGTGATGAACCTGTCGACCATCCTCACTGCCATCATTAATCACCTTCAGAGCAGCATCCAGGATGGTATGGACCACAGACCTCGTCATCACTTCACAGTAGGACGCACACATATAAACAAGAGAGAAGATCTGTGATGTTTAAATTTGTTACTATAACAAATTAGACCTAGAGTAGTGACATTGCCACTGTTGTTGATTAGATGAAACTTTGAGATATTAAGTTTTACCACCTTGTTGTTACATTTCCAGGATTACACTTTTTTTACACATTTTTTAAATTTGTCCTTGTGTCATATATCAGCAGTTAATTGGAGAATTTATGCATCTACCAACTACTGACTTGGCTTAATTGAGGCAACTATATGCCAACAACCAGCCAAAATGTGTCTAAAACTGTTAGGAGGAATTGCAACTTTTGATGGCGATGACATATTTTTCTTGTTTCTCATAAGACTTTCCTGGTGAGACAGAACAACTACATAAATAAATGACAAATGTTACATCAAACTCTGCATTTTCTTCTGTCTTAGACAAACTTTCGGGGGAGAGGGTGAAGCAGGTGATGGAGCACATCTGGAAGTTCCAGGAGTTCTGCAACAGCATGACGAGGTTGGAGACCGACAGCTATGAATATGCTTACCTGAAGGCTATAGTGTTGTTCAGCCCTGGTGAGTCTGCTAAGAGGAGTTTCTGATTTTTCCTAATGATGAACGTTGTAGCTGTTATCAGTTGAATGAAAAGAATACCACGGAAGAGTGAATGAAATTTGAATAGGTGACTTGCATTTTGTTAAATGATAGTGGTGTGTTTGACTCATCAGATCACCCGGGTGTGGACAGCAGTGGGCAGATTGAGAAGTTCCAGGAGAAAGCTCTGATGGAGCTGCAGGACTATGTGCAGAAAACCTATCCAGATGACACGTACAGGTACATTCATACTTCCAATCTAACCAGTCAACATAACCTCCTCACCCCATTTTAAAGCAGCAGCACCATGAATTACATGTGATCTTGTCGTAATGTTGCATGTTTATTCTTTGCGGTTTGCCACTTTGATCAACGGTATGTCGCATGCTGTTGTTGTTGACCTGCACATACAACTCCCCATCATCTTATTCTGTATATTGGTAACGGTATACAATACATGTTATATCACTGCTGTGCCACGGACATATAACATTTCTTGCATTAAATAAATGAATAAATAAAAAAAGATATTAAGTCAAGTAAATTTTTATCTATAGAAAATGAGGGAGGATGTTGAAATAGATAGGACCTGAGCCTCAGACCTCTCCACCATGAAGACATAATGCCCATTGGCATATAGTTAGCTTTAACGGTCAAACAGTCCAAAGCTTTGTTTGCTTTGCTGGCTGTTAGCCTTTGTAGCTATGATTAGTGCCACTAGCTACCAGACAGGAATAGTATTCATCACATCAGTGACTGTTATCTAGCACACAGCAGTGACATACCACAGTCAGCAGCAGCACATGCTAGTAAGAATTATCTATGCAAAGTGGTAACTGCCAGTAGTACACCAGTGACAGACTATTTTCGTATGTTTTTAGGTCTGGGGGATTTAACCACCACAAAGCCTTAAGCCTGCACCAGCCACTAACAGGTGGTGCACAGAGAAAGTTTGAGTTTGTTTATGTTGACAAATAAATGCAGAAATAAAATAAACCACAATTCTTCATTTGGATTGTCATACATTTTCACCTCTTTGCTTTTCACTTGTGTTGGTGTCTTTTCAATCTCAGCATTATTCAAGTGTAGAGCATTGAGGTGTTTGGCTAACGGACTTGAATTACTTTTGAAGATTGTGACGCACACTGAGGAAAAAGACGAGTTTATAAGAACATTTCTTTGAAAAAAAACAAACAAGGAGGTAAACACAAAATATCAGTATAACTGGAACTGTTGTGTGTTTCCTCAGGCTGACCCGTATCCTGACTCGTCTCCCTGCCCTGCGGCTCATGAACTCGAGCATCACAGAGGAGCTCTTCTTCACTGGCTTAATAGGTAACGTTTCTATTGACAGTATCATTCCCTACATCCTCAAGATGGAGACAGCTGAGTATAACAGCCAGGACTCTGACCCAACCGAATGACATCCTATCAATCCAGAACCCAGAACTGTCGATTTAAAGATGGTACTCTTTGTCACTCAAAGGGTTTATTGTTGAACCCCAATCCAAAATTCTGCAGCAGCCCCTTGTTTTCTAACAATGCATGGTGCAAAGTCATTCAGGAATCCTCGGTAGATTAAGATTATCTGGCATTGGAGAGCCAGGGTGACACTTGGACTGTCCTCTGGAGCTGATGCAGTGTGGTAATCTTGAGTGTCTGGCCTAAACTCAGCCACTATGAATTAAATGAAAAAGGAATTATCTGCAGCTGCAACTATGCTCGTCTCCTTTAATGTCTTTATAGCACTTCAAGCAAGTGAACTTAAACCTCTGGTCTTAGCCTTTCAAATTGTTGCAGTCTTATCTAAGCCTTACCATGCCCTCATGATGATTACATACATAATCTGCAGATATCAGATGAGATACTGTATATAATAAACACAGCCCAGAGTCTAAAAATTGAAATTTTACATGTGGAATTGGAATTGCATGTATTTAAAAATTTTAATCTTAAGACTAAAGTAAATCTGAGTATTTACTGTAAAAATGTACTTTGAAGCTGTTAAGTATTTATTTATGTTGGCTTTTGTGAACATTGGCTCAGTATAATCTTATATGGTTAATGACTGTGCTGTTAAATTGAGAATTCAGGCTTTAACAAAGACTAAGTATGACTTAATTGTAATTTTCTTTTTTTTTTTTTTTTTTTCAATTTTGTAAGTGACACAATTAAAATGAATAAACAGGTCTTTACTCTAATTAATTAAATCTAAATAATAGCTGGAAAATGCACTTCAATCAGGTACCTGAGCTAACTCAAACCTCAATCCTTTATTTGCAAAGTATTCATATGCACTGGCTGTCACACCATTGAGCTCACAGTGCGCATAGCTCAATACAATGTGACCAATGTCTGCTTTTATTCTGTCTTTCAGTTTTAATTTACATTCAGTTTATATTCACAAAATCACATAAGACAAATTAGCCAACTAAATTGACCACATGTCCTTTTTTTTTTTTTTTTTTTAAATTATACTGAATGACATGTCAGAGTTTAGGTTTATGTTTAGGTACACAGTATTTCTGGGGTATCATGAATATGTTGCTATTATAAACCGTGCAATCACCTCATCACTTTTCTCTTTATGACAATCAATTATATGTTATTTCCTTCTGTCGCATCAGTGTCACAACTGTTCTTCTCAAACTGCATTTTGTATGTGTATTTATCAGTGGCTCTTATTTCTTTTCAAGAATTAGATTATCTTAAAGATTTTGGGTTCAGAAATGTTACTTATGTGTAGCTATGCTGCTGTTTTTGTACTTGTGTTTTGCATTTGTATTCTGCTAAGTGCACATCAATCAGCTTTTGTGGCGTTCCACTACATTCATGCTGACTAAAACTTTGTGTTTTGTATGTTTTCTAAAAACTTAAATTTGTTGTGAACAAATTTGCTTGTTGCATACTAAGTGTACTTAAAGTACTTTTGGGCAGGTTTCCCTGAAAAAAAGAAAAATGAGAGATCTTCTGGAAAGCCAGTCTCTAGTGTATCAGTGTCTTGAAGACCATATGGAGATATGCATTGGCTTACCCACTTGTATAATGGTTCAGAATAAGCATCCACAGCAACATGAATGATAATGGGGATGTAAAGAAGTCAACAGTTATTATGTCTTGTGAAATTAATGTCAGTTGTAAGAATTGGGTTTAAAACCCATACAGACTGTTTGTTTGTTACGGCACTGGTGTAAAATGACCTTTGTACATGTAATTTCATTAAAATGAGTGCATGTTGTTTTTAAGCGGGGTTTTATAATCTTGTCGCTGTTTGCCCTATTAAGGAGCGTTGTTATAATTTTTTTCTTTTTTCTTCTTTTTATAGTGCATTGCCATGCATGAAGAAGTTGCTTAAGTGCATTTTATTAAATGCTGTATGAAAAATGTTGATTTAAATGTTGTGGCTTTAAAACATCTACCATGAGCAGCTCCCACATTAGAAGATATTAGAGCAGATTGTTTTTTTGGGTTTTTTTTTTCAGCTTTGAGGATTGAGTATTCCATGGTTAAAATTTTATACAATGTAAATATTTTCTGCTCATGTAAAATGTATTTCTTCAAACATTGAAACTGAGAAATTCAAACATTCATGTTTTGCTCAAGTTTTATCACAACCCTACATTTCTACCTCACTCCAATGAAGATATAAAACAAATGTATTAACGACTGAGCTCCTGTATCAGCATTCCAGTCTCTGGGGCCGGCTTTTCTGAAGCCACACAGTATAAAAGAAATAAACAATTATTCATGAAATATGACAAGATTGAGTCTGTTCTGTTCTGAGAGTGAGAGGAGTTTATCTATCAGAAAATCATCTAATTGTAGTAACATTTCAAAGACAATTTGTTTTTTATTTATTCGTTTGCACCCATTAATTATTTTATTTTCTCATTTGTCTATTTTCTTGTCTCCTTGTCTGTAAGCTCTTGTTTTTGTTGTTTTTATTTAAATTCACAAAATCAATGTACAAGACAAGATAGGGAATGACTTTACAGAAAAGAATAACATTCAATAAACAATTGAATATGCTCTTGTTCTAGCGATGAAGGTGAATGAAGTGCAGCGTCATTAAAAACTACAACTACCAGACCGCTCTTCAGTCTCCCGGATGACAACCACTTGGGACGTCATCAAAAACGCGTCTCTGTGCTTGTGCGACTCGCTGCGGGAGGCAGGTTTCAAATGGTATCTTGTAAACATTAAAGGAGTTTGTTAAAAATGCCTATGAAAGGAAGGTTCCCAATCAGGAGGACCCTGGACTACCTGCAGAAGGGCGACATCATCTTTAAAAACCGAGTCAAGATCATGACGGTGAATTACAACACACATGGAGAGCTGAGCGACGGAGCAAGGTCAGAGCTAACAGCTAGCCGTGTAATTACCACCTTTGCAGCAAACAGACATTTACAGATAAGCCATTTTTAAAATTTGAATGCACTGTATCTCTTTTATATTCATTAACTTAAATTGGGGAAAAGTCAACTGTAATTGTGGCATGTGCGAAGCTTTGTTCACTCTACTACTCCATACCAACTCATTAGGTCTCAACTGAATTGGGACCAGCACAGAATTATCAGTACAGTCCTATAAATGTGTCAGAACTTGAAGTATAGAGTGGTCCTAACTTTAAGAATAGAAAGACTAGCTGGCATCAAAAGTTTGCCGGCTGTGGTATATTTTGCACATGCCACAATTACTATTTTATTTTTATTTCTATTTTTAAGTTTGTGAAACAAAAATGTATCAATGCATTAAATGAGCAATGTGGACAGGATTTTTTTTTATTTTTATTGGTTTTTATTCTTTTGTTGGCGGAATCAAATGACTTTAGAAAACTGTCACCTAAGTCAGTGCAGCCTTTAAACCCATGGCTGTTACAGTATAAGTGGCAAGGATGTATTAAATTTAGTATGTAACTAATAATGAAAAAAAAAAAAAAACTCAATGCTGGAGGTGGGTAAATTGAACATTCATTGTCTGAACCATTCAGGAAATTTGAAAAACTTTTTGTTACAATTTGCTTCTCAAAAGTGTAGCATTTAAAGAAAGCACCTGTTATATGAAGCTGATGCCAAATTTCTCTCCCTTTGTTTTGCAGAAAGTTTGTGTTCTTCAATATTCCTCAGATTCAGTACAAAAACCCATGGGTCCAAGTAATGATGTTCAAAAATATGACACCATCACCATTCTTGAAGTTCTACCTGGGTGCGTAGTTTGGCACTGTTGTTTAACCTGTATCATAAAATAATGATTATCATAATTACACAATAATTATTATTATTAACGCTATTATAACTGTGTAATTTTATAAATATTTTCTCGTCTCTCCTGCAGATGATGGGGAGCAGGTACTGGTGGATGTAGAAGGGAAGGACTACAAACAAATTTCACAACACGTTAAGAAGATTTTGGGAAAATCAGAGTAAGATATTGAGTTATTTTTATTTTATTTATTTTATTTAAGTGTGGACCATGTTTCATGACACCTACATGACTATATGCCTGTGATTAGGGCTCTTGGTGGATGTAACTTGTGATGTAACTAAGATTTTACATTTTACTAAAGCAAATGACTTCAGCATATAATTTAATGTAATTCAGCCTTGAAGACCAGATAAAAATATAATGTGTGTGTGTATATATATATATATTATTTATTCCAGCAAAACCAGGACTGTGAGGCTGGAGCAGCTAAATGGAATTCAGCCATTATTGAAAATTTCTTTTTTATTTACACCTGTGCCTTTCCTACTGTGACATCTCAAAAATGTCTGCTGTGAAAAAGGCTTGTTTCTATAATGACTAGACAATCTGTTTGTGTATTTATTTTACTCTCTGTGCTCACAGACAAGTGTTACAAGCTGAATCCCGCGCCAAGATGCAGGCATCCAACCCCGCCAACTTTGGACCAAAGAAGTATTGTCTAAGGGAGTGTATCTGTGAGGTGGATGGCCAGGTGCCGTGTCCTGGCACCACGCCGCTGCCCAAGGAGATGACAGGCAAATATCGAACCCAGATGGCAGCATCACAGGAGTAAGAGGCTGAGAAGGAGAGCAGACTATTGTTGATTTACTGGACAATATTATTATATTATTGTTGCGTTTGATTTTGTACAGTTACATAAAAGAACTAACACATTGCATATTTTGTTGTAAATATGCACAAGTGAATGGGTCCCATTATTCTGTGTGAATTGGAGATTGTCAGTGCCTGGACTGCCACCCGCCACTCCACCATAAATCCAGCACAAACACTTGTCAGTGTTGGGGGTGTTGATACTTCGTGCCAGGTTTGGACATCTTAACCTCACACCCTCTGTTTGTACATGATGTGACCCGGTTAAAGATTCCTGTCATCCAGATGTGAGCTGTATACTGCAATGTAAACATTCAAATAAAACCTAAATTTGCCTGTGTGGCTGAAGTAACCAGTAACTTTTTATGTAAAAAAGAATTAATCAAAAAAAGTAATAATAACCACAATATTTTCATGTGAATGGCAGGATCAAGTTTAGATTGATTAGACACAGGTTTACCATATCTATGAAAAAAAGAGAAACAACCATATTTTACTGTAGACAACTTTTTTTTTATTGATGCTGAGATGGAATTTTCTAAAGTTAATAAATTGATGTCTGTGTCCAAAATTTTAGTTTTATTTTTGCAGTTATAGTTCTAAATGCAGAGCCATTAATCAAATTACTTCCAAAGCTAAAATCAACTGCTAATACACATTAAGAAGCTCCTCATGTTATTCACACTGTCACAAAACATTTAGTGTCACGTTTTGCTGACAGCCGTCTGTGGACATCACAAATAAGCAGTGTGAGATTAACAGACAACACAAAACACTTCGGTCTCTGGAGAGAAATATGGACAGTCTGACTGACAGGAAAGCACAATAAGATTTATGTAAGGACCAACTTAGCAGCACTGTGAGTGGTAATACTTGCTGGCATTCATGTAGTGTAAATATGTCTAAAATGTTGCTTTGACCTAAGGGTTTAGTCATCTCATTTCTTTACACATCGGGATTTCAGTGGATTCTAGTGCATTTTTTGTTGACTTCAAGTTGCCTACATTGTGCCT